AAAAGGCGTTCGTACTTAGCTTTTTTACTAGCATAATTCTGTTTTCAACGTAAATGAATATCATATTCACAATCAGCATGAAAAACTACACCAGGTCATGTCTTTTCTATTAAAAATATTTTCCAATAAAAAACATCCTGTAGTCCCTTTCAGGTCTATTTTTTGAAAATTTGCCCGTACTCCCCTACAGGGTTGAATTTTCGTAAGAATTTTTTCTCTAAAGTATACATGCTCAGGTGTTGTTTTTTTCGCTGATTGTGAATATGATATTCATTTACGTTGAAAACAGAATTATGCTAGTAAAAAAGCTAAGTACGAACGCCTTTTTTCACTGTTTTCTCTGATTTTCCTACCGTGGAGCAAGAAACTTGAATTTTCTGGAGAATAGAACAAAATTTTAAAAAACAAAATAATAACTTTTGTAACCCATGATCTACTGAGTCTAACAGGGTAAGTCAGTTGCTTCTATCTCTTGTTACAAAAAACTAGATACGTTTACAAGAATACTCACTAATACATACTTTTAGCCTGATGAACCTATTTATATAGGGTAGAATCTTTTTAGTTCTATTAGCTCTACTTCTAATCAAATAACATTTTCCTATTCAGTTTTTCATGCTGATTCCGAATATAGCACTTTCAAAAAGTTCACAAAATTTCTGATATCTAAATTCTGCAATTTCTAAAGAAAAAAAAATTTCATAGTCAAAATTGAACTTTTTAGGTATTGTAGTTTTTTACGATTTTCTAAATCAAAAAATGGTCGAATCGAAATAAAAAGTATATATTCGGAATCAGCTTTTCAAGCTCTATCAAATCATATACGTGTGAACGAGAAAAAAAATCCACTGTAATTTTGCCTTTCCCGCACCTTACATACCGATTACATTGAAAAAATATTGAATATATCATGTAGAAAACAAACGTTGATCTACATTGACGTTTTTCAATGATTCATTCTTCATATATAATGCTTGATTCTTCATTGTTGTGATATGTGGTCTTTTTGCTTTCTTTGAAAATGTAATCTGTAAAATTTATAAAATAAGATTCATTATTTGTTACTGACAGAAGTTCATAACAAAATCGAAAAGTTTTAAAACAATGTATCTTTTCAAGAATATTGAAGGTTAATATTTATACTCCAATGCCGATGGTAGCATAGGATATGTCCATCAGTATAAAGAAGTAAAAAGAGAGTTCGGTTGCCATTTCTTTCTCATATTCTTATTTTCTTCTTCGGTCTATTATTTGTTTTGTTTATCTGTTTATGTAGGCGTTTGCAAACAAAGTATAGTTCTTTTTTACATTAATTTTGCTGTTATCCGATATCAACTCAGTTATTTCACCATTTTATTTTTCAAGACAGCGTCTGCTACGATCCTGCAAAGTTGACGATATTTATAATTGAAAATAATACAGTCATTTGATTTGAAATAAAAGAAATGGTAAGTTGCTTTAAAATGACTAACTATTAGTTAGTACAGTGGAAACTTATCTTAAATTTAAAAACATATATGTTCTTTCTAATAGCCTATCAGACATGGTTTTTACACTCATTCACGTCTTGCGATCATCATCACTATTTTCCTACTTCATACAAGCAAAGTGTTTTCCCAAACAACTGATGTCTCTAGCGGAAGTGAACTTGATGTAACTGAATCTTCTGCTATTACGGGCTCAAATACTGCTACCGTGAAAGACTCTTCTATTACTACCGACTCGAATGTTTCTAATCCAACCGAAAATGCTGGTACAGTGGAGTCAAATACTGCTACTCCGACCATGCCTCCTAGTGTGACTATCGAAAATCCTTGTCCACCTGGTGGATATCCATTTGGTACCAGTTGCATTACGGCCAGTCAGAATGGAGGTGTTGTTATTGCAGCATTCGTCTTAAGTATAGTGTCATGCGTTGGTGCAATTGTACGTACCTATTTGTTCTAAGAAATAAATGTCATCCAAAATCGAAATACCTTGAAATAAAATAGGGCGTTCTTGTGTACCTTCTATTCTTTCGTAAAATTTTTGCACGACAAAATAAGCGCAAAATAATTGCCGACAATGTTAAACAACACGAAATGACGGTATAGAACAAAAATAAAACTTTCACTCATTATGATTATTGATTATATCTTATTTTATTTTAGACATTACCAAAAAAGACTGGTCTAATACGTCTACTTATTTTTATTTTCAATTTATCATGTTCTTTTTTACTATAGATAACATCAGTTCAACAGTAATATCAAATAAGAAACATCGAGATGGTCAAGGTAATTAAACCATTGAGAAATATCGAGTTCTCATCAAATTTTTTTATATTCTACAATCGAAGCTGGTTCACGTAAGCAACAACAACAAAAGGTGCTAGAAACACAGTCTGCAGTACATATAGCAACCAAGAAGCAATTGCAACCATCTAATACTCGACCTTATCCAGTTCAACAGCGTAGACACAACCAACAACCGCTGAAAAATACAAAACTTGATCTCGATGACAATTCTGTTTAGAACTTTGCTATGAATTTCTCTGTTCCAACGATTGCATTATTCTTTTCTTTTATTAATAAATAAATAAATCAGAAAATATAAAGATTTGGTAATCCTCTTTTGCCTGCATCGAGTCTTGACATTGAGTATCGCCTATGATCCAACATGATATTGATTTATAGATAAATCACTGCATTTTTATCTTTGACGAATAGCAGTAAAATTTCGCTAATAAAAAAAAATTGTAGAAAAAACATGAGTCTTAGCATGATTTGAATTTATGACACTCATCCTTTTGTTGTTTTGTTTTTCTTACTAAACACATTCGTGCTACTTGAACTAAAATGTTCATATCGTTTTCAAAATCAAATATACAAACATTTTTTTCAAAAGCAACACTCGTTTTTGTATCATGCAACTAGAAGTTTGCTTTTACAGAATACAATTCATTTATGATGATAGCCGTTTTAACTGACTTGGTTTACCAGTTTCATATGTAATAAATCATGGGAATGATGATTTCAATCATAAAGTTTTCCAACTTATACTAAATAAATCCAATAGAACTATTGCACACTATTTTTCTAAGTCATCAATTCTCAATAACAATAATTAATTTACAACAAATCTATAAATTGTTTTAAAATACAAGCATCACAGACTTTGATATTATATTTTTCGTTGATGATTTGACTTTGATGTTTCATATTGTCTAGAATATATATATTCAATTTTGATTTGCAGAAGTAATACGTTCCACTGTAATGATAAGGTTGCAGATCTACTATTCAAACAACCACACTCCCGCGAACTACTCTTGACTTTGAATTAGATGATAAATAATTTTTAGAATAGAAAATGTCACGTTAACAGGTTATTCGAAAATAAAATGTTTTAGTTTTGACGCAGAACAATGCTTAGGTTTTCTAGTATTTCACGGCTAGCAATTATTTTCTGATATCATTGAAAATAGATATAAATATTTTTCAAGTATATTCGAAGTACTTTTTCTCACTCGAAATAAATGAGTGATGACATTTATTACCTGACTTTACATTTTTTTGCAGGCACAAGAATAAGTTGTATGTAGTAAAAATTATTTCTTCTTGTGTATGATACTTATTTGAATCTATGAAGATAAGATTTTCCAGTTTTAATAACTTTATTTTATGGATCTGATCGTGAACACCGCTTTTACACATCTCATGTTAAATAATTTATGGCCAAATCAAAGTAAAAATTCCTACAACATTTTATTTGTTTAAATGACGGTGAATAATCTACAACCATATTAAAATGAAGCGTGCCAATGTTGCTTATCTTATCTTAACTCACCCTATATTGATGTTTTACAAAAGAACTTAACTTCGAACGCATTTCAGTAGCCAGTGAAAGTTTAACTATCATAACGGAGAGAAGAAGAAAAATGAATGGAGCCTGCAAAAGTAAGCACATTTATTTCTAAAATATACTAGTATTTGCTTTTATAGAACCAAATGATTTTCCTTTACTTGGCAATGCTGTATGTGTTCCTCAAGATGCGCTATTTGGTATATTTTTAGGAACTGTTATTGGAGCTAGCGTTTTATTTTTAGGAGTTATTGTAAGTAATTTATGAAAAAATTGTATCTTGAAAATATTCTATGTTTATGATTAGGTTTTGCTTATAGTATTCTATAAACGATATTCCATTTCTTATGATGCACGGCACGACAATAACGATGGATTTCCTCTATCAGTTGTTAATGGTAATAATGATGATAATGATGGCGATAAAGGTGATGATGAAAACGATAGTATTGTATCGATAGAATCTTACATTAGAGCACATCAACGAATATCTCAAGTCCTAACTAAGAGTGAGTAGATTAGTCTGCTCGTTCATCATTATGATCTTGCAAGAATCTCTACAAAAGTTGGAAAATATTTTTTCTGTAGTACAAATGAGCCATTCAAGATTATCCCCTGTAGTCAAAAACAATCTTGCAATAGATACATACGATTTCTATAGATTTTTCAATTTAAATTACGACTATAGTGCAGGGATCATAGTCAAATTTTCAGTTCTATATCATGACATTTGAAAGAAAGATTGATTGTACAAGAGGTAAAAAAATGGTTTTAGGAACAAAAAAATCTTTATCGAATTTCATTCTACATAGGCAATTTATTTTGTTATTTTAAATCGTATGTACTAATTCAGAGCGTGACAGAAATCCTTTGTTTTAATTTCTCACTTTTTGTGTGAAAACAAAACTATTGAAAAGGAAAACATTTACAAAAAACAGAAACTTCGAAAAAACAGAAATCTATTAATAGCATTTGTTTTATATATAAATACATGTAAAAACACTTCATGTAGAAAAATACACTCTATCTTATACTATATTTTGAAATGTTCCTTTAAATACAGCAATAAAATAGATAAAATTAGAACTCACAGAAAATTCTTGGTTGAGCGATCGAAATTAAATATAAGCAAACAAGAATTATTTCAAACAGAAACTCGATGCTAATTGAACATTTTTATTAACTTTAAAGTGATTAATTACTAAGCGTTGCATTCATTGCTAAACTTAGGTATTAGGAAATTTCTGTTGTGGATTATTGAACTTCATAAAAGAAATACATTTATTCTGTTCAAGCAGTACACAAAAGACTTGCTCGAAAATATTCTAGCTTCAAAAATCAACTGTGAATTACCTAGAGTAGCTTCCTATTAAAAATATACTCATAAAAAATGATGCGCATAGTTAAAAAACCTAAATTAGTAATTATGATGAATATATCATCATTACATGAAATTCCTTTCCCGTCATCAATAATAGTCAAATTTATGAAAATTTTTCTTTTAATTGTAAATTAATTAAATATGTATTTTGTTGTAAAGAATACTTTGCCAAAGCTTTTTGAAAAACAAAAAAATAGAAATTTTAAAAACCATCTTCTTCAGAGATATTGTTGTATACAGTGTGTTTCTATATTTTTTGTTCGTGAATAAAGAACACTGTTAAATGAAATAATAGTTCGAAAATATTGACTAATACAAATGATGTACTGTTTCGATTTAATTTTTTTTCTTTTTATAGTCGTTGATACTAATCCTTCGAACAATTCAATCCGACCACCTGTTCATGATAATGTTATAATTTTACAACGAGATAGATCATTATCTTCATCAGAATCGGGATCATCTATTGGTTTACGATCTCTTTCAAAACCAATCAATGGTAAGCGACCTCAACCGACGAAGTCAACTTCAAAACGATCGAAAACTGCTAATTATATAATGGCAAATTCTATGAACAAGGCTGATACACAGTCAAATATACTTTCTGATAGGTTCTGAAACCAAGTCATTCGGCAATATTGATGTTCTATATATTTTGAATTCGAAAATGAGAAACTTGTGTCATAATCAAATGCATTCTTTTCAATAATAATTTTTTCTTCATTCTGAATATTAAAAAATATTTGCGCACATGCGTAGAAAAAAATCTCATACATCCGTCGCCAGTTTACTTTCACAAATTTTAGTCGTTACTTGAAAAAATGCATTATTAATAGGTTTCTTCTTATCTCGAGTGTCACTCGAAACGTTTGTATGTTGTCGGCGTGTTAATAATCGATTCGCTTTTGCTGATCGCAATTTACTTTTATTCGGCACAGTTTCTAATGTCAAGCCTTCCATATCAGCAAAACGAACACGTTTCTTTTCAGTTGTACCATCACTTGATTGACTACGCATTGTTGAGCGGGTCCACGAATCACGTTGTTGACTTTGGATATCTTCTCTTTCATCAGCATAGTCAGGGCGTCGAATATAATTTTGATTCGCATTTCGTCGTTGAAATATCGTTGATAATGAGGACGAATTTTCATCCGAAAGCGAATCACTTGTTGTATCACGATGAAGACATTCAGTTTTACTATTATCAGTTATGGATGACGGAAAGAAAGATGATGAACTATCACCAGAACGTCGATTTGCTGAACCCATAACAGTGTACACGTGATCGAAACCTTGCATACTTGTTTCTACGAATGAACCAGTTGCGGAATTAGACAGTGATGTTGTTTTAGCTGGAGTATTTAAAGTTGATTGTTTCATTCGTGAAAAATAATTTGTCAGTTTAGAAGAGTTTGTTTGCGTCAGTGATTGATTAGTAGGTGTCATAGAAAAAGTTGTTGTAGGAGATATTCCATAATCAGAAACTATTGTATGAATAGGCCGTCGTGATGGAATTTGTGTTTGTTGCTTTGGTTTCTGTTGTTGTACTGGTGATTGTTCTTTAGTATTTTCAGCTGATAATGAACGTTTGGTTTCATTATCAACTTTAGATATCGATGATACAATTTTTCGATTATCGAGTACTTTATCAGATGAATGCGAGCGAATATTAGTCGATGGTTTTTTCCTCGGTATTGTTGGCGTAATAGTTGATAAATTATCTCGATCTTCATAATGTTTCAATGTTGAACGTGATAATCTATTTGATTCTTGTTGATTATTTGTATTTATTGATGAGTTGTTGACAGGCAGATGACGTGTTTTAAGAATACAATATTTATAATCATATTGATTTGAAGTAGTGCGTTGTATAGGATTATATGAATTTGTTGAAGGTGATCGTAAGGGTGTTGGTTGCGATTTTGATACTGGTATTTGCTGAGATTTTAGTACAGCTGTATGACGAAACTGCCGTTCTTCAGAACATATGCGTTCATATTCTTCAGCAGATACGTAAAATTTTCGTCCATTCCGATAGATAGGAACGGTATGTGATGACATATGAAAATTACTTTAATGAATCTTTGATAAATAGACGATTAAATTTTTTTTGAAGACAAGAAAAACAAATTGTCGATTAGACGAACTTACATAATACTCTTGCAGTTGCCGGAACAGCTGCTGATAGTTGTCGTTAACAATAATATAAATTCATTTGCGTTCAAAATATCTAGATAATTAAACAGATGGAATTATATACTCGAACATTGATGTATGAATTTTTCTTTTTAAAATGTTTTCTTCTTTTGCATTCCCATTTACGTATTCGTACCTCCGTCGTTTGATACTTATGATTAATCGGTTTTTCGTTTATAGAAATAACAAACAAACATTGTACACAGTATTATTATTCTAGTCAAATCATTTTGTTTTCATTTATCCACAAAAAAAAGTGAGAACAGGAGAAGACAACAAAACAGAGCCGAAGAAAAAACGAATTTCGATTTGACGTAGTCACTCATTTTGTTTTTTTTGCTTTTTGAATGTTATTGATAGAATTAATCCATACCGCTTCTAATCCATTACCAGGTGACACTCGAATCGACTTTTTTTTTTTACTTATTATGCGTTTTTCATTTTTCTTTTTTATCAATTAATAACAAATCTATCTCACTAATGTTCAATACAGAGATATAAAAATGAAAAAGAACTGACAAAGAAAAACAATTAAGAACATTGATGCTTACCATTAGCTAGTACGAAAACAATAATTCCAATTGTATCTTTTAGGGTTGCGTCATTGTCATCTTCTTATCTTTTTTTTCGTTTAAGGACAGGTATATAATCACAAGTTCATTTGCGATATACGTCTGTTGATTTTTTTTTCTTCTCATTCTGCTCATTTTTTTCTCTCTTCTTCGACACTATATATTTCGCTGTAAAAAAAATAGTTTGTATATGTGATGGTGATATATTCACATGTTTGCATTGAAGAGGAGGTAAAGGATCAAGAGAGAGAGAGAGAGAGCGAGTCTCCTTTTTCTTCATCTTTCCTTTCGTACTAAAATAACGATAAATAAAATTATGTGGTCTATGCATGTTTTGCCCTTGAAAACTGTATTATGTCATAAACAAGGTTATATGTTCTCATCTTTTCTTCATGTATTTCACTATCAATTTGATAATCACATAATATATATTGATATTTCATGGCGGAGTTGCTAAAATTAATTTCACTTCATTTTGTTCATTGAACTATTTTATTTAAAAAAGAATTCTTCCTAACAAAAACTTAACTAATACATTATTGATATTATCATATAATTTCAGGATAATAATGACATAAAAGATTTTGATTCGATGGAAAACATCCATCTTGATAGTGGTAATATCGAAGAGTAGTATTTTTTAAGAATGGTTGCACTTGTTGTTTACATAAATCTTCTTGTACGCCACTAGCACAGGTATATTCCTGTCGATGCATATATCCAAAATATCTTAGACGTACAATATGATTTCGTGAAATTAATTGAGTTAAAATTAATGTATGAATAGGTGCATCTCCCCATCGCTCTCTATAGATACCCCCATTACGATCGACCATATGAAGCCAAGCTCTTATTAATGAATGATCACGAAAAAGAGAAACATTAGCAAGAGCAAAATTTGTAAAAATCATCGCAAGTGAATATCGACCGAACCAAGTAATTTGTGTTTGACGGACTGATGGTGACAATTTCAAACAATGCTCATTAAGAAATTCATTAAAAAGTCCAAATAATCCAGTAGCATAATGATCAGCTTCTTCATTAACCATAATGAAAGCATATTGAATCTGTCTTTTTTGCATAATTTCGAATGGATCCTCTATAGGTTTAGGTCCAAATATATAAGAATGTGAATCGAGTCGCCAATACAATGAGAATAATGTTAATAAAGGATGATTTGGAAGCATTATAGTAAAAAATCGACACATATGGAAATACTTATGTGACAATCGACGATGAATAAATCGAGTTTGATGTGAACTATTAGAAAACTGAATACACTCAAAACCTAATGGAGTACGATCACCTAGCGTTTTAGCTAAAGATTTTTGAATATTAGTATCATTGAAATCACCTTCATGAAAAATAACTACAGGCCGAGGGTTATTTGATAGTAAATGAGATAGTTGTGCAAGTGATGTATGAAGTGAATTGAGCTCATCGCGCGTAGTTAAGTAGACAATAACACCGAGATATGATGCCGGAGCAACATTCAACCAATTGACACGCCATTCTATATGATGATTTTGTTTTTCATCAGTTGTTCCCCAACGATACCAAGTTCCAGTTATACTATTTTGATATTTCCAGTCATTTTGACGATCGATGATTTCATCGTCAGGATTTATAGGAACACATTTTAAGTATTTTACATGTACAAAAGTACGTTGAATAATAATAGTACTGCATACAATGATAAAACATGAAAAAATACATGAAGAACAATATCGTTTTCCAGTTCTGTGATGGACACGTCTGAACATTTTATTTCGTCTGCTATTAATACACTGTTTGATCGTACAGTAAATCAGAAAATTATCGATTCACCAGTAGTATGTTTTTTGTCGTTTTGCTATAAATATTAAAAAAAAGAACAAATGATCAATATTGATGACAGAATTCATTGGATGGAAATATTCAATAATCATTACGTAAAAATCTTGGCTTTTCATTTGATTTCCCACTGTTTCATAGAATAATATACGACAACATATGAGATGCGTAAGTTTAGAACTTATGAGTATACAAAATTTACAACACTCGTTCATCCGTGAAATACATCTTTCATATGATAGGACAAAAATTGTACTTGATGTGTTGTCATTTTCAAATGTGAGGTATGTACTACATAGATAAGATACAGTATCGCTGCTGTTTATTTGTCGATAAAAACGATCGAATCGCTCTCGAACTTTCGTGGTTTTTATGCTATATTAATTTCAATTGAAGATGTCCTATTTAATGCAACAATGTTTTATGACACTTTAGAATAAAACTATTCTTCAATATCAATAAGGACGTTCGTATGAGAATTATGATTTCTTGGAATTTTCAATTGGAATAATGCTAAAGAGTACGTGTTAGTCGACGTAAACATGCTTTAAACAGCATTAATCGTATTATTTTGTTCAGTAAAGATATTCAAGGCATGAATGTAATATTGCAGTAAATTCATTTATTTTCACATGTTAGTTTATTTTTCTGTAGCTAATTATTTCTATCACTTACTGATTTCAATCTTGAACTTGTTATAGTTACATTTCATATAGTCTTAGTGTTCGGTAAATAAAAACGACCATTCAAAACTAAAGTAAAGGGAAATTCTCAGCGAACTCTGTGATGTATTTTTGGAGAAGAAAATATCAAACTTTTATATTGTATTTTATGCAGGAATATATTCAAAATAAACTATATTTAATGCATTTTGATATAATAGTAATGAGAAAGAAACTTGTACCACAGGACACGTATCCATAATAAAAGTTGTTGATGATAATTGAATTATCAAAAACTTTCAGGTTGTTTTTTACGTCTCGACAGAATTCTATTTCTTGTTTATTATCTCTCGATTCATATTTCATTACGAGAAGAAGAAAAAAAATCCCATCATATAACAATTAAAATAAGCAGAAAAACAAATTAGCAGAGAAAGAAAATGTTAACTAATTTTGTTTTTTACTCTTGACCACTTGATTTTGAATTAGCCAAGCGACTTGATGCATATTGAGCAGGAAAAACAAATGATGTTGATCCATTTCCTCTAACATGAATTAAACGACCAGCATTTGATATAACATTCCAGCCAAGTGTCAATGTAACATTATTTGATCTAAATCACATAAACAATATTTTCTAGTTTTACAGCAAGAAATAAACAGACTTTAAGTAATCTCCATCGTCCCAAAAATAATATTTTGTTGCTATTTCATGTAGATTAAGACGTGCATTCTCGCCTCGCCGTATTATTTTATCCCATAAAACAACTTGATTAAGACTCTAAAAATAAAGTAAAGAATTTAATATGATCATTTAAAACTAATGAATCAATAGAAGAAATTTATTCTTTTTCAAGATATTTTCAATTTTTACAAAAATCTTCATTTCGTATTTCTAGCATTGCACCTGATAAACGGATTATAAATAAAGTCGATTTTTAGATGAATCTTGTGTCATTACATGAGTTTGATTACGATTCAATTAAGTCTAAAAGAACTTGTGTTGATTGCATATTCTCTCTGCATTGTTTTGCAACCTTCGTCTTTAGAAATTTTAGCTAAATTCATTAAATTCTCTATTATACTATTTCAATATGAGCAGTTTATAAATAAAGAAGGAATTTTAGAAAGCAAATTCTTTCTCCTTTTCTTTTCTATTCTTTTATCAAATGCATCTGATGATGTAACAATTATTTGAAAATTTTTTCTAGTAACTGATGTGCCTCATTATATATGTCTAGTTTTAGTAGTGGATAAAAAAAGGCGCGAACAAGAAGAAAGGATTTGTTATGTTTGTTTGTGAAAGTCAGTAGAAGTCGAACTATTCTCTTGATCTCGTCTCTCTGTTTTGTTTGCGAAAAAGAACGATTCCATAACCGAAGTTAACACTAGTAGATTAATATTTACCAATACATTTGGTAGGAGCTAGAAGCAGTTAGTTTCGATGAGTTTTTTAATTTCTTTTCTCAATGTTTCTTCGAAATATTTATCTGGAATAAGATTAGACAACAATCATAAGAGTGTTTTAAAAAGTGAACCAAGTAATTCAACGCAAATATTATTTACATGAATTTCTTATTTCAAATTGAAGTTTCATTACGCGTTCAATTCTTAGAAGTCTGAAACATGTAATATTCTAACAAGAAAAATGTTCGAAAATATAATTTCGAACACATTATTGTTTCTTGAGAACGCATTGTTCAGAAACGAGAATTGTGACATGCATGTTTCAAAGTGTACTGCCTCTAAACATATAAATCGATTTAAACACTTACATTAGCTGGTGTAACATATTCTGCAATTAAGTATAAAAATAATTGTTTCACATTCCAATCAAATAGTGGATCAAGATCTAAACAAATTAATTCAACGTAACCTTGCATTCAAGTTCATAATAAACTTACTCGTGTCTAAATTAAGTTGTAATACACCTAAATCATTTTTTTTACGATTAGCCGAAAAATCGGTCATATGTTTTCTATAAATAGTAAAATCAGTTGATCATTCATTAGATATTTTCTACTTACACAACTGGTTTACTCACACCAATCGATACAGTACTATAATATTTTTCAAAATAAGTTGAAAGAAATACGCCAGTTGTTAGAACAGCAAGAACAGTTAGTGTAAAAGCAAATAGTGTATTTAGACGACTTAAAAACGAATGCATTTTTTTATCTAGAAATATAATAATTGATTTTTTTTAGTCTAACATATTTTTTTTAGCACACCGAGACGCAAAAAAAATGAGCACAATTAATATAGTAACAAAAAAAGGAAAAAAGACTAGTACAATATATGTGTATCAGAGAGAGGCCATTGTAAAAAAAATAATCATAATTACATGTTGAAGTAAAGTGTTATCATAAGAAATCATGCTATATTCGTAATATACACAGATAAACTATCTTTTATTTGTTGCTAAGAGTTCATCACAGATATTGGTTAATTCAATATTTTCTTTTTTCTAAAAGATTAATCAATCTAATTAGCTTGATTTTATTCTAATTCTTTTCGTACCTTTTGTTCTAACTCTTGTTTGACCGATTTAATCTCTTGTTCAAGAGATTGCACACGTAATTGGGCATATCGTAATTGTGCTTGAACACCTTCGATTTCTGACCGATGCACACGACGTAGACGTTCAATTTCACTGTTAGCTCTTTTAAGAAAAATTAAATTGTCATTAGAATACGAACAGAAATCTATATATTTATATATGTAAATTTACTCATTTAATTTTTCTTGCGCATGTTGTTTAAGTACGGCATACTTTTGTTTTTGTTCTTCTGTATAACGTACAGATTCTTCTGAGAAACGTTTTAATGTTTCTGTATTCTAAAAGAAAAGAAGGTTTTATGAATAGCAAATCAAGAGTTTTACACCAACCGTTTTATGTTCATTGATGATTAATTTCAGTTTTTCATTTCGTTTTTTAACATCTGTAAATGCATTTTCTGCATTTATTAAATCTTCGCTCATTTGATCACGTTCACTTTTAACGTGTCGTAATTCTTGTTTTAATTCTTCTGTACATTCACAAACACGAAAAAGTATTCGATAATATTGTTCAACACATTCACTAAACAAATATTAAAACATTTTTGTATTTGTTTTAGTTTGAAATCAGCTAAACAAGGATTTCATTAGTAATGCGAAAATTTTCAAATGTACATTATTATCATTAGTACGAGTGAAAAACCAAACCGCGTAAGAAATGTGTGTATTTTGGATGACACAGTGTATTATTGGTAGACATGGTTTGTTTTTTGTCTTACGAAAGTGATTTGCCAATTGATTAATCGCTTTTTTTTATTGGAACTGTTCAAAATTGTGTAGATTCTAATGAGTTATCAGTACCCTGAAAAATTTGGAATCTTTTGTGGATCAGTCTTTTAAGATTCGAAGAAAATCGTACGCAAACTCACAATGTCTATAAATCTGACACTAACGGACTCAGATGTCTCTATCCAATTTAAACAACAGTTTACTCGTGAGTATTACAATGTGTTTTAATTATAATCGTTAAAACAAAATTGTTATTGAAATTTGACTAAACTTATGAAAACTTTGCGAGGCCAACATTCTCGTGATCACTGTGGGAGGACCATAATGCGTTTGATAACTGATCTTCTTTTTAACTGTGATTTGAATTCATACGCATATAGATAGAGGTCAACGAGGCTAACTTTCGCAAAATGTTGCGAGTTGTCAATAATGATTCTTTTCGATACTAAGTGTCACGATAGGAGAGCTTGAATAGAGTTCATGTGGTTAAATGTTTTCGAATTTAGATTTAATCACACAATGATTTCCACATCCGGTAGACTTCACTATCTTGAAGGTCTCATATATCGACGAGATCATGTCTAAAACGTCGGAACCCTTCAACGAAAGAGGCCTATCTGAATCGTTGCATCGAAATTCTTTAAAAATAATCATGAGAAAAATATCGAGAATTTACAGGCAACAGAAAAAAAACCATTACGAACAGGAGGAGAACATTTGCACAAGTTCTCGTTTAGCCTGACAAAAATGTTGAAAATAATTATCTTAACAATGAAATTCGATTGCGTATGAACTCAAAAACTTACATAATTCGTGTAGGTTCTATAGGAACTTGTTGAGATGATGAATTTACGGCAACTAGCCGAGAAATGACAGTAGCATCGACCGATACAGGTGGTGTGTTAAATGAAGATTGTTTATTAGCCAAATCTGATAGAGCTTCATCAATAGTCTAAATTATTGTTAAATACTTTTTTCTATTCCTGTAACACACAGAAAACATACTCCATTGAAGCTATTTTCATTAACAGGTGTTGCCATTTTTCGTCGTTCTTTCTTTTTAAGTATAAATGTGTTTGTATCGAATACTTTGTCATTATTTAATATTGATGTTGAAGATTCTTAATAAAGAAAAGAGCACAATAACTGTTATTTATTTTCATGAAAAAACTATTTTAATAAATAACCTTGTCCATCTATTGTTTTATTTGCATTAAGTTTGATATTTTTTGCTAATCCTGTGATCGTTTCAACAGAGTTCGGTGATGATGGTTGAATATTTTCTTCTCGTTGAGGTAAATCATATGGATACTCAACTGAATAGATTTTAAATAAATAATTCAATACGCCACAAAAAGAAAGTACTTTTCGACATACGAGAAAATTGATTCGATAAAAGTGATGGGACATTTGTCGACGTTTCAATATTATTTACAGGTTTAAGAACATTCAATTCATCTGAAATATAAATATCAATTATAATTATCATTTAAAGAGAAGGAAAAAATATATTTACATGATGGCTTTTCATCCAATACTTCTATATTATTAGGTAATTCAACTGTTGTGTCTAGTAGATTATTGTTTTTCATCTATATAATTATCAATTGATTTGATCCATTAGTTGATTCATTAATTCTATTACTTACATTCTCTTCTAGTATTAGATCAACCGAAGGGATATTATCATCTTTAACTTGTGGTAAAACATCAAACGACTTATTCAACATCGGGTTTCTACAATATTAAAAACAAAAGATGAAAACATCTTTTTTTGGTTTATTAAAACATTTTCTTGATTTACCCTTGATGAAAGACATCTTTTTTATCCCCAACAAGATTGCCATCATCATTGATTCCAGGCAATACATGTCCATTGATTGTTGTTGAAGGGGGTGGTATTAATACGTGTGAATTATCATCAATATCCATTCGATCAAGACTTTGATTTAATATAAATGAATTATTTGTTTCATCATTCATTCGTGACGATGAATGAAACATCATTGAATTAATATCTGTTGTAGTTGTCATCGTCTATAAAATAATTGTAAAACAGAAAAAAAAACAAGAACACAAAAGAAATTCGGTTATATGTTTGACTCCTCTTTTTCTCTGATGTTTCTGTTTAAAAACCAATTTTAATTTTTTTCTTTTTTTTTCTAGTGTTTGTTGATGATGATAATAATCAAAAAAAAAAACAGCGAGACAGACAGCGTGTGTACGCGCACGAAATAATAGTAGCAGCAGTAATAATAATGTGACCACACAAACGTTTAGTGTAGGAAAATAAAGAGAGAGAGAGAGGGAGGGAAAGAAAGAGCATCATGGTATCGTCACCAGAAAAAAAAACAATAACAACAGAAAAATCATCGCACATCACAAATCAAAAATCATTGATGTACTTATACATGGACTGCAAGACAACAGAATGTGCGATTAAGAGGAAAAAAACAGGATAGAATTCACGAAGGCAAAAAGACATGTTTTTTTTTGTTCACAAACTAAGTTGATGTCAAGCTCCCTTTCGATATACGAAATAAAAATGGTAGGGTAGCATGTACAAAGAATAAAATAAATAAGCACAGACATGCGAATGTGCTAGAAGGAAGAGAGAAAAACGGATAACAAACATGAATACTATGGAAAAAAAAAAGGGAACAGGTAGCACAATGAACATATTGAAGCGAAAGAACAACAAATAAGTATCAGCAGGAAAAAAGGTTTTTTTTCTTTTTTCTTATTACCGAAAGAAACCATAAAATAGATGATAAGAGAAGAACAATCTAGATGATCCTCACTGTAAATTTATGCGTATGTGTATGTTCATATGCACCATGAAATTATTTTTTTGTTCCTTCTTCTTCTTCTTTTGCCAATTGTTCCTCATCATACTTGCTGCTTGTTAAACTTTCTGCACTTACGCAACGTTCACTTAATTCATCTGATGAGACTAGAACTAGAGGTGCATCAGTTATTGAACATGGTTGTGGTAATAATGAATCTTGCTGTTGATGTTCATCATTGGATGATAACATTGTTGTTGTCGAATCAACACCACTCGTATCATTTGAATTGTTACTCGGAGATAATGAATCAATATTTTCATTTGGCTGTATTTGTTGTTGAAAGCCATTAGTATTATAACGATCGGAACGCGATCTCGATGGTATTTGTGTTGGATACATGTATAGTGTACCAGCAGAATTAAATGGAAATGGTGGTGGCTCTGGCATCATAATGCATCCATCGAGTGTTGTTGGATAGTAATTTGTGCGCGGTGGGAAATAAGTATTGGCAGCTAAGATATTAAAATCTGATGTTGGATGAATAAGGGAATACTATATAAAAAAAAATTCAAATTTTACATATCTATTATTGTGACTGAAATACTGAAAGTAAAATGTTGCCTGAAATACGATGCTATTTTAATAGTTTTCCAAGATAAACTTCTATTAATAAATGAAAATATACAGCTATTGCATTCCTTTGCGAATTGGACGACTTCAAAAGAATTCAGATCCATGACCAACTAATGAGAAATTGTGTTCTTTTAGTTATACTAAGAACGATCAGTGATCATAATATTAAATCAAACTGTATTCCATAGTTAAATATATTCAGTCGTAGATAAACTCAATTTTGCTCCTTCAAAAATTTTTTAAAAGCAACTAATAAAAATCGATTAGATTAATCTTCAAACTGAATCTCTCTATATTTTAACAATAATTGGCTCTATATGTGGATAAACAACAAAAAGCACATACGTATATGTGACAATTTGCTTTTCAGTGTTTGATTCTTCTACAAAATACAGCATTTATTTTGAAACTTACATATTGTTGATCACGTGGTAGAACTTTCAAATCACTAAAACGAACTTGTTCATAATTATTATAGTCATGATACATGACGGTACAAAAAGAAGATTGTATGTCCACAACAGTAGCATAATAAAACTAAAAACAATGAAATTTCAATGCAACAAAAAAACTGATGCTATGTTATTTTTCAATTTACTTCTCCATCATCACTCCATCGAGCTAAACACATATCACCTACTCTCCAACGATGTCTTAGATTCTAGAGGTAAAAATGAAATTAATTAAAAAGAAATCTTTGTTTTTCTGAAAATCATACTAAATTTGAATCTCGATGTTTTTCTTCTTGAAACGTTGTATTACTATCATTGGATGATAGTGATGTTTGTTTTTGTTCGCTTGTTGAAGTTTCTGATTTAATGCCACTATCATTATTCTCGTCATTTTGAGATGCCGCACTTGTTGTAGTTTCATTATCAGAATGTGTAGTACCATTGTGTTTTGTATCACCATTATAATTATTAGTAATTGTCGATGGAAGATAACTGGGAGTTCCATAAGGTGCTCCATAGCAAAACGTTAAATGATCATTAGCATACGAAGGACCAATAAGTGCTTGATGATTATGAAACGATGGACTTGGAATACCAGCAAGATTGTATGTTAAAGAACTCTAGGAAAACAAAATTGAAATACACAAAAAAAATTACGCTTTTTTCATTTCTAATACCGGAGCTTGAAAATAAGTTAGATGATTTGGTGTTGAACTACTGACACCAGCAATAATATTAGTAGGTTGTGCATACGCATTAATTGAATTTGTATGTTGTGGACCACTAGATGAGCTATTAGGAATATACGATGTTTGATCTCCATGTCGTATGTATGATGAGGATGATAATGCTTGATTACTGATTGTATCATTAGAATAAATACTATTTAGATCATTTCCGAGTATTGATTCATCGTAATAACGATTTGTATTTCGACGAGAACGTTCTTCTTGTACGCGTTGGAGTCTATATAGAATAATAGCATTTGTTATTAGATGAACTCATAGAAGAAGAATATTTTAAGATTATAATCGAACACGAACGGCAACATTTTTCTAAGTAACCACTTTCATATAAAAAAAAAGACTCTTCGATATAAACATCTACCTACTATTTTCACATCAATGAGTATAAGTCTATATAGCAATATTATTGATTTGCACATCAAAATTGAATATTTTATGATAATCGCTTTTTCATAAGACGAGTAAATTTTATAATTTAAAATAAAGAAACGACAACTACGAACCTCGGAGGTAAAGGATTTCGTCGTTCACGATGGTTTGCATGTGATGGGTCATCTTCTGGATCTATTTGTTCATCGGTTTCATCTTGTTGAACTGTTTCATTATAGTTATTATTATTGTTATTCAATGAATAATGCGGTTGCGAATTTATCTTATTTGTTGAATTAGTGCCGTTATTTTGTTCGTTATGAAATCGACGCTTATGATTATCATGGCCTTCTTTAGATTTTTCATTCTCATTATCATTTGATAATTTTAATGAAGTCATAAAATCCATTAATGTATTTTTTGGTGGTGGACGTTTGAAAAAATTTGTTTCACCATCATCATTATCATATCGACTGTTACCTATTTAACAACGGCAACTTATATTCCTATGAAAAATAAGTAAAATATTTACGTCGTCCTTCATAGGAAGATCGGTATGATCCACTACCATGACCCTAAAATAATAGAAATTGATAAAATAATTCATATTTTAATTGAATTGACTACGAACTCGACGAGTTGATCTTGCGCGAGAATATGTATTTGAACCATATTGATACTGTGTATTGTCATGTGTTAATTGAAGTAAACCATCTTGTATTGGAATAGTATCGATTAATAACAATTTACTACCGATTTTTGTATTAAAACTATAACATAACGAATTACGATAATAGAAAATTTAATATTTTTTTTTTATTCTACAATATATTACTTTAAACTAGGAATATGACCATTTGCTATAGCTTTGACAGTGCGAATACCATCGGTGATTGTTAAAAATAAACGATTATTATCATTTGTCTGTTCGTTTTGATGAATTATCTGAATGCATGGTTCAATTCCATCGATTTGCACAAAAAATGTACCTTTTATCTAATTGAAGATATAAAAACACATATTATATACAATCGTCTGATAAAATGACCATCTATTTTGAATTTCAAATGATATACTTCGATATATGGTTCTCAGTTTTATGAGAGAAACCTACAGCTAATTTGCGCGCAATGAACCGAAAAATCAATCCTTATATGGAAACTACTACTAATAGTAATTAAAACCTATTTAAATCGCATAACTTTGATAATGATTTATTATTTTCATTGATTCAAAGTCCAAAATCAACAATCATTCCGAAAGATAGCAAAATATTTTTCATAGCACATAGGTAGACATCGAATAAGTGACATCACAGTATTTTACACAACACCACTTGCTTCAGAAGAGAAAAACATGATTATTTTTCTAAAATCTCTTTAAAAAAAAGAATTTTTTTCTCAGTAAAATCCTTGACTCTTCATGTGACTATTAGTATAAAATTAAACCGCAATACAACGCCGCCGTAAGTTATTTCAAATAGGATTGCAAATATAAAAACAAAAAAATTGAAGTATATTTGACAGTAAATCCTTTTGAGATCAAATTATATTTCGTGAGGAGAAACTTTTAAATTTATTGTAACGTTTTTGAAAACTATCCAGTAACAATTACTTGACGTGACTATGCGGTTTCAGGTGTTTTCTCTAGATCGATGATTCATTAGTGATTAGCAAATCCTAGTAAACTTTAGTTTGACTTGCAACAGCGATGAGAAAAAGACAATCGAATGACGCTAGGAAAAAAGAATCACTTTTCAAGATGGCAGGGATTTTCACCTTATACAACCCTTTTCATTTCAATGTCAGTAAACAGCAAAACTCAAATGTTTTTCTCGACTATAGCTTTTTGAAATTTTTAAGAAACAAAAACTTAATATCTTACTGAAGATTTCAATATTTGACCATCAACTCTTCCAAATAAATCATCAGGAAACGGTTTACAGGATACTAATCGATGAAAATCAACCTCAAAATAGACAAGTAAAAAAAAACATTTTTAAATCATTCGACTAATTTTCTATGTTTACTTCTTGATAATCTTTAATAAATGGAAATGGCCGTTCATTATCATTTGAATCGGAACCAGTAAGACCATTTTTAACAGGTATTGTTAATTCTTCTTTGGTTGCTATCACAGTCACCATTTTTTGAAATTTAAATGGATAATGGAATCAATTAAAATGGATGGGGAGTAAAAGGAAAGGATGAACGATTATCTTATTCTCGTCAATATTTTCTTGTTGATCTATAAAACATAAAGGAAATGAAATGATCAATCTTTTGTACTGTGTGTATGTGTGTTTTTTTTATTGTTTTGTTCTATTGGATGTCCGCGCTTTCCTTGCTATTGTTTTCTCCAATAATATTCTACTGATCCATAGAATATTGTTTTATCATTAGTAACACCAATCACTGAAAAACATGAATTAAATGTCGCTTTAGAGAAAACTCAAAATTTTTATTAAGAAAAATTCTCATTTTGTGAAAAATATTAATTAAAAAATAATTTTAGTATATTGATAAAAAAAACGAGAGACACAATGCAATATAACATACAAGATGGCTTGGAGGAATACATTTACTCGGTTATTTACTTCTGGAGCGCGTCGTTTTGTAGGCGCTAAGTTTTTTCTTCTTTTTTTTTCTTTTTCGTAAAAATGATTCTTCTGTCGAGATAAGCGTTTGTAATTAAGAAATGAGAATTCAATTGGATTATTATAAATAAAGCGAAGCAAGTAGAAAAAAGGTAAAAGGATTATAACAAAAAAAGAAAAAACTTCACTTTTACATATTGTTTACTTTTTATTTAGTTATGGCTGATCTTCAGGCCGAAATTGAATTAACGGTTGAATTAAGAAAATTCATTAACATCGATTTATTTGTACAAGGGTAATTAGAGAAGAAAACACTGTGAATTTTTTTCGCTCATGTAAATTTGAATATTTTTAGATATTATCAAATTCGAACTGGTGTGAAATTTTCACCCCGAGTTCAATCGGCCACTAAAATCGAAGTAAAATCTGAACTTTCTCCTGTGATTGGTATGATGAATTTGTATGAAGTATTTTACCATTTTGTTTTTCGTATTCAGATGATTCAAATGATTCAATATATCCGGCGTGTGTATTCAATGACTGGGGTGTGAGCAAAACATTTTTAATTATCTTTAAAAATGAAGAAGTGCAATTGGACGATCAATTTAATTTTAAACTTTCAGTTATTATTGATGCTCAAAATGTAAGCAAATAAAAAGTTAATTTATCTTGGTTGCAATTTAGAATTTTATTTTACTTTAGATTGTTGAATGTTTTAATCGATTGGATATGCAACTGTTTCTTGAACTTTATTTTTTAGAAAGAGATTATACGTAAGTATTTGTTTGATGAAAATCATTGAGCTAAATTTTGTTTTCTGTATGATGTGAAAAAGAACAAAATATTTGGATTGATAAATTTGCTTTTATTAATGTTTAACATGATTTTCTAATGCCAAGGTTTTATACATCTTGTTTGACATTTACCCTTTTGCTTTCATACATACGAATTAGTACTTAGATAATTTTATTCACGATCGTTTTCCTTTGAGATTTGAATTTCCATAGTTGTTCCACTAAGAATAAACATGGACAAGCGGGATTTCAACTTATAAGTCAATTAAAAAATGTTAATAAAATAGCATGAATAACTGCAGTGACTTCAACATTCGACCCATTGGGTTCGAATAAATTGAAGTTGATTAAAACAAAATCTAATTAGTAAATTTTTAGAAATAATCCATAGCTCAAAAGTGATCTTACACTAACGTTTACCAGCATATGTTTAACGATTTCATTTCGTTTTTCTGAAAAACTAATGTTGTCATAACAATCTGCTTGGAAATCATTAATCTATCTCATTCAATTATCTACTTTGAAATAATATTGGTCTGGCGCGTGATAAGGGGAAGGGAGTAGAAATAGTGCAGATGCTGTCCTTATACGAAAAAGTGTTCTAACTAGACTATAGTTTGATATCGTGTAACTTTAATAATACGTACATCTCAAGTAGTAAAAGATTAATACTGAAGCCTTCAAGTTAGTTAATTTGATAATGATGAAATACGGCAATAGAGTCAAGACTTGAGCTATGTACTTAGAGAAATTAATTTTTACTGCTAACAATTTTGGGCCCTTTTTAAAATAATTTGAATCGAAAGCTTCTATCCGTCGTTTTCAATAAGATACATAAAATATTAGAACTTATGTTAAATGTTTCGCTCATAAGTATTCGATAGATCGTGACTAAATTCTACTGTTTGTAACCTTTTGATTATTATCAAATAACATATCAATATCATGAGTCACCTCAGTGCCGTAAAAATAATATTTCCAACCTTTTAAAATGTTAAAATCATTCGTAAAAATTTCATTTTTTTCTTCTTTTTTTAGGGCGGAAAAAATGCCAACTATGCAACAATTATGTAGTCGATGTTTTAAACTTCATTTTGATCCTCGATTTGGCATACATACTCATGTACCAATACTTTTCGATTATTTTCATTTATCAGCACTAACAACTACTGTTCATAGTTCCCTTCTTTGTCTTATTCCACCTTATGTTTTTGATCGGTATTAATTCCAGCTTATTTCCAAGCTTCTTATTTTATTTATCTTATCTTAGACCAGATGTACGTCGAACTTCATTGTTTAGTTTCTTATTTGGTCAAGATCTTTCACAAGTATGTTTTATTTAACTTTACAATATTTTTCATGTCATTGGTATCTTATTAGATTACAACCGATCAAATCAATCCTGCTCTTTTAGAACGAGCATACAATCTGCATAATCGTATTTGTGAAATACTTTTATCATCGTATCAATCTTTACAAGATTTTTATGAAGCAATGCTTGAGCATCTACCTGATAGTGAAGAAAAACCAATACATGGTAAACGGAGTCTCTATTTTTCTATAATATAAAGCTTTTCTGTTAGTTTTTTTTTAATATTTAAGTATACGTTCATTGTTGATCATGCAGAATACACTATGAACTTTACAGTTTCCGATATATTGCTGTATAAGCTTGTATAGTACAAATGAGTGAGCTCATGGTAATCATTGAAGAGAAACTATAATACAGATAGGCTGTCTGCAGTTCATATAGACCTTCATTTTGAAGATAGTTTTAATTCAAAAGCAATTAATCAGTTTAAGAACTTCCATGGTTAAGCTAAAAGCAACACTATCAAGTTTCTATGCAGTAATCTTATATCAGTAGGGAAGTTTTAATAAGAAAAAGATGAACAGGCATTTATTAAACTAGTTCTTTTTTATTATTGTATATTCTTCAAAGTAAAATTTTCTATTTTTTAGTTCATCAAAAGTGCGAACAAAAATTACGAAGTCTTTCCGAAAAACTACAGGTAACTCATTTCAATTAATCATGAAATTGATTAAATGATATGTTTTTAATATTTAAGAATATTGACGATATTCATACAATAGATAATCTGGCTCATGCACATATAGCACAATGTTCAGCAGAAAATATAATGGTTTGGTGTCAATTTATTCAAACATTTGGTTTAAGTGAATCATCAGCAATTGTTCTTGGAAAAGAATATCATTTAAAACGTGTAAGAAATTTTCTTTTCTTTTTTTTTCTCATCAATAAAGCCATGCTGTTCTTTTTAAATTCTAGGTAAGACGATTGTCTGAAGGCTTTTTCCAACGTGAAATGTCACGAGTGAATTTATTAACAAATGAGAGCTATTCCTATAATGAATTGCATGAACTTGTTCGAAATTCTTCTTACTATTCATGTTTACTACCATTAACGATTGAATGTGTAGAATTAGATGGAGTACCTGATACGCTACCAATAATTATTGAAGAAATTTATTTGTCTGATGAGCAAAAACCATCAAAAATGTTACCATCGTCAGTGAAAATGAAAACGCCTAGTGCATGTAACGATAATCCATTTCTACAAGCCGTTCAAAATTTTAGTAAGAATCTAATGAAAGGTATCTGATTTTTCTCTCTCTCTATGCCCATAGAATAGGGCTTGCATGATTATGATAGTAATCATTAATATCATAATACTAGCATGCTGCTTACAGTCACGTTTGAGTTAGAACTTTTGTTTGTGAGTAGTGTATAATTTATTATTATTATATTTATTTGTTATTTTGAATGATTTCTTATGTCTTATATAATCTAAATAATTTTAGAAATTTCATTTGATACATATATTTTTTATCATAGGTAAATTTCGTCCTAACCTTGGCCTGTGTCTCAGTGGCAGTATGGATGAAACAGTATTAAGTTCACTTTCCAAGCCGCCTGCAACTCCACCATTAAAATCTCAAAAGCAATCATCTAAACCAGCAACAAATGATTCGAATTCAATTTTAACACCTAAACTTCGTCAATCCGGAAAGAATTTACTACCATTCCGTACTCAAACACCGACAAATATCAATCGAATAATTGCATTTTCAAATGATCCATCAATTCAATTAACTTCTTATCGTAAATTTGATCATGATACTACACCAACAACAACATCGTCATCGTCAACAACTACAGCAAACACAGCACTTGAAAATGATGTTAATTCATCATCGAGTCTATTTCCTTATCAATCAGATTCAGATATAACAAATAGTTCACATTCACTACGTTTACAGAAACATGCAAGTCGTTACTCATTACCTGATGTGCCATTTCAACGACGTAATAGTATAACAACAACAAAAACTGATCTAGTTGTTGTTCCTCAATTTTTATCGGCAACAACTGATAAAACTGATGATGTTTTCATAAATGAACAAGAAAAAGTTGTTGCTGCATCAACATTTGGTGATTCAAGTATGAAATCAAAAGTTTTACAAGCATCATTTCGTGGTAAAACCAATACAATGGATCGACGTACAGCTGCAACGACTACTACACCATTTCGTTCACAATCAACTTCAACAACGAATAATAAACGAAACTTCAATATACATCCAAAATATTTTACTACGAAAGCAAGCGATATCAGTACTGATAAAACAACGAACGGCCCAGTAAATTGCTCATTAGATTCAGTTCTTAATCTTACTTTACAATTAGAACAAACAGCTACGGCTGATTATCAACGAAGACATACTATTTCAACTCACGAAATTGATCCATTGCTATTGAATGGTTTAACAGACGATGAAAATCAATTACATCTCATCGAAAAGATGAATGGACATTATCCGGCAACGATTATTGATGAAAATCATAGTATTAAAGATGCAGTTTCATCTGAATTAGATCGAATAGAAACAAATTCTGTAATGAATAATCAAGAGACTGAGTAAGTTAACATGTTCTTCTTTCCTCGCATGCAAAAAGTTAGCTATATAAAAAGCTTTTAGATTTATTTCGTGGGACTTTCATAATTTTAGCAATCATTTTTCTCAAATCGAGTATTCTTTTGAGATCTTCAATAGCATTTGACTAATATAAAAGAGCAAAATATTGCAGTTTTATACAGGTATTCTATCCGACTCCTGATTCAATGAGCTAGACAGCGCCAAAGAAGACCAATTTCATTCTAATTCTTGACATAAGCAGATACTTTTAACCACGAAAAAATCTCTCTTTACTAAGCAATGGCAACTAGATTATATCTCTATCTTATACAGATTTCGTATACAATTATTTTTTATTTTCATATATATTTTGTTAATTTAAATTTAGATCTGTAATGTATAAAGAAAAAATAAAGCAAATAATATCATCAAAGTATTCATCAAGTTTAATGTTTTATTCTGATTTTTCAATTCTTGTATCAACTATTCCTTATTTTTATCAACAACTTCAACCATTTGACAATAATGGTGTACATCTTGTTGTATGTGTACATGGTTTAGATGGAAATTCAGGGGATTTACGTTTAATTAAAACATATCTTGAATTATGTTTACCAACATGTCGATTGGATTTTCTAATGTCATCAGCGAATCATTCATCAACATTTGATGATATTGATATTATGGTTACACAACTAATCGATGAAATTGAGGCGCACATTGAACGTTATGGACTTAAACCACAGCGAATTAGTTTTGTTGGTCACTCATTAGGAAATCTTGTTGTACGCGCTACTGTTAGTCATCCGCGTTTTGAACGATTTAGAACACTGCTTTATACATATCTTTCCTTATCCGGACCTCATCTAGGCACATTATTTAATTCAAGTGGTTTAGTTAATATGGGTTTGTATTCTTGTAATTTCGTTTTGAATAAGAAAACGAAAATTTCATTTTGTTTTTAGGAATGTGGTTAATGCAAAAATGGAAAAAATCATGTAGTTTATCTCAAATGTCATTTAAAGATCATGTTGATCCAAAACAAACATATTTATATAAACTTAGTAAAAAACCTTGTAAGTTTCATTGATAAATCCATGGCATGATTTCGACTTTTTTTCGTTCTTGTTTGATAGGTTTAGAATATTTTAAAAATATTTTATTAATTGCTTCACCTCAAGACCGTTATGTTCCATTTCATTCGGCTCGAATTGAATTATGCAAAGCAGCATTAAAAGATACGGTTTATGGTCAGTTTTGTTTTTCTACCTCGGTTTTATTTAAAAGCTTAGTAGAGATAAGTTGCAATGGTTTAAAGAATTGATTGGAATCTTATTATCGTTATAAATTTCGTTACGTAATATCTACAACAACGAGAACTGACGCACTAAACCTGGGCAAAAGTAACATATGCGGACTTGAAGTTTTCAGCAATCGAATGAAACGCGGAAACGAAGTACTTCTGGTTGGAGCTTCGCGCAGTGTATTTCTAAATAAATATTTTTGATATGTTCGAAGACAATTGTTTCAATTACGTATTGCACGATAGACCTATAGCAAATTTTCATTACATATGCTACATTGAGACAGAATAATCTGCTCGTATATTTTCTGAATTATATATATTATGATGTGTTTTGAAACGACAACACAATTTTCTACAGTATGAAACCAAAATATATTCAAAGTTCACCCTGTTCGATTACGGAAGAGTATTAGTTGCTTATTATTTTCAGTGTAGATTTAGCAATGTAAATCTATTAGATACTTTGATTGATCATTATGGTATCTCTAATAGAAAATTTTATTGTAAATCAACCACGTCAAATCAGATCATTTGTACAGTAATCATTGAAAAATTTCAGATTCACTGCTTATTGTTAGACTAATTGCTTCTCTTCGATGCACAGGAGAACCTTTAAGATTAAAACCTAGAATGAAAGCGTTCCTACAACATTCATTGTTATAGGTGTTAGACGCTTAGTAAAAAAAGCAAAGCCTGTAACAATGGAATATCTTTTACTTAATCTGATTTTATTTTACATTTCCTATCAAATAACTAATCGAAATATATTTTTTTCCTTTTGTTTCAGGTTCAACCTATGTTGAAATGATAAATAATTTACTTGAACCAATACTTCGTAATCCATCGATAACTTTTGTTCGATATAACGCATTTCATAATATTCCTTCCGGTACAAACAATTTTATTGGTCGTGCAGCACACATAGCTATATTAGATTCAGAATTATTTGTGGAAAAATTTATCCTAGTTAGTGCTGCAAAATATTTTAAATGATATGTCCTACAGAAATACTACAAAACAAAACGGAACTGACTGTTTTTTGGTGTTTCCACATGCATCCGGTTTGATATCAAGCATTTTTTTTCTGCAATATTTTTTTTGTTTGCTTGCTAGTATTCTTCCAAAGTCACTAAAATATGTTTTCCTGTTTTTCTCTCTCTCTCTTCGATCAGATACTGTATACACACGAACAAAAGCATAGAATGAAAAACACAATATTGTTCTTGTAACAGTTGTACATACTGACGTACATACATACACGCATACATACATATATATATATATATATACAATATTTACATATACGTTTAAATATAAGCTTAGTAGTCACTCAACTTAACGTATTTTTCAGATATTTACATTCAATCGTAAATAAAATACAATGCCATTGGCTCGAGATCTCCTTCATCCATCAATCGAAGACGAACGTCGAAAACACAAAAAGAAACGACTTGTGCAAAGCCCAAATTCTTTCTTCATGGACGTCAAATGCCCAGGTTGTTACAAGATCACGACAGGTAAAAGCTATTCAATTTTTACATGCAAATAAAACTTAACAATTTGTTTTTTTTATCTATTTTCTAGTGTTCAGTCATGCACAAACTGTTGTTTTATGCGTTGGCTGTAATTATGTACTCTGTTCACCATCAGGTGGCAAAGCTCGTCTTACAGAAGGCTGTTCATTTCGCAAGAAACGTGATACACCATTGGCACGTAAAGATGATGTTGAACGAAATTAAACGATCAATTATTCAAATAAGCAATGGAACATCAGCAATGTCGTTTTAATTTTTTTCTATTCATCCTGTCTTTATGTGTTATTGAAGGAGAAAAAGAAAAGAAAAATAAATAAATAAATAAACATCATTGAAAAAGTTTTTGAAAACAAAAGGCATTTTGGATTAGATGAAACAAAACAAAAGCATAACCTTGTTGTGCAGAGTTCATTCTATCTTTTATCTGAAAAATATTTGCAGTTAGTCTACTTCATACAAGATCATATTTGGCGCCTAAGAGAATTTACAAGAAATGTCATCGATTATTGTTTGTTTTTGTTTTGTTCTATGTCAATTATGATTAGTTTTTTCATTTTAATTATTTACTACGTAAAACTATCCAACACCTTTACTGTTATCAGTGAACCTTTTCCGCATGCAAATGAACAATCTATTTCAACAGAATCTAATTCAATAGTTCTTCAAATTCCACCACCACCAGTCTATCTAGAAACTACTACAGAGTCTACAAGTATTCCATTAGATCACGAACGATATTCAAACAACGATTCAAATCTACAAACGAAATCTGCAACATTAAATCGCTTGAAACTGAAGTCATTATTTGCTATGATTTTACCTGGGCCTACAAAAATGAACCCTTTAATATTGAATAGGAATCAATCACCTCTTCTTTTACTGATATGGTATCAGTGATATCATCAGTAGACTTCGATTAGAAAATTAGTTTTGTTCCTAAATGAATAAGACTGAATTAAACACTAAGATTTTATTTCGTTAGAGCAAGATTTACATTTGAATTATAACGAAAGTATTTTCTCCTAGGCGAATTAACATGTTTCGCTAAAGTAGAGATTTTTTTTGCACGCTGACACTTTAGAGAAAGCTTGAACAATGCGTTCTGTTTGACTTATTAATAGCCTTCACATTGTTCTCTTAGCATATGACATATAATTACTCTGAATCAGACCTGTAATATTATTAGTACCGAACAAATCGCAGTGGATTGATGTGAAAAAAAAGATACCATCAGATATTTATTCCATTAAATAATCAAAGTACTTACGCTACATAAAAGTTTGGATGCATGCATTGAAAGTCTCATTTGAGGTATGCATTTGTAAAAAATGAATAGACTTAGCCAAACTGTAAAGTAAGGATTTGGAATCGTTATCATCGCTTGAATGGATTCGATTAATTAGAAATCAAGTAATATAGACTCGAGCAAGTGTTTTCGTTTTGTAGTGAAGTTTTGTTACATAGGGACAGAAAACAACTGCAACTAATTATCCAATTGATGACTGCGATCGATAAATTGATATTACTAAAAGCAAAACCAATTAAAGCTAGGCTGATTGGCATTGAGAGAATCGCAATGCGAATAGACAGAATCATTTCTGACAGAGAATCTTTGCTTTGTATCTAAGCTGCGATCGATGACTGTTGACTGAATTGTTTGTGACTAACCCGAAAAATATTAGCATGGCAATATTAAAGTCTTTTTTTATCATTTATCCAACAAACTCTGACAGTGTACCAATGAAGTCAAAGACGCTTGAAATATTATTTAGTGCGATATTGTTTCAAAAGATCTAGCAATTGAACAATCATAACTATGGAACATCATTCGATATCATACCATAGATACGCTTTAGCATTAGAGAAATTTTAAAAAATGGGATCTATCATGTACCAATGAAGATTTGTGTTTGTTTTACTAAGCGTTTCAATAAGAAAAAACGATCCTGAAGAACATCAGAACAGCTGAATAAATTTCGAAAAATTATCTACGGATGTTGCCTATAATCATTTAAACAGTTTGCAATAAAAACAAAGTATGGTCTTTGAGGCACTCAACTTTTAAAAGCGAACAAGACCTTATCGAATTAAAATGCTATCGTAAAATCGACTAGAAATTTACTTGACATCAGTTTTTTTCGTATCAATGTCTTCATTGGTAGATTTATAAGCCTAAACATTGAACAGTCGTTTTCAACATTCTATAGATCGTTGCGTAACTTTTATCTCCGCTTTAACAATATCTGACAATTAGTGATGAATGTGATATTAAATACATATTTTTTCGTTTACTGATTATGTCCATATTTGAAAACAATCTACTTTAAAAAAAGTTTCTTATTCGGATCAAATTTCAAAACGAATCTAATACCAGCATGCCAGTTATGATGTTAAAAAACTACTCTCACCAGTACATTTCGGTGCAATAATGTTCAATTATTATATGACTTATTATTTTTTTTTGTCAAAATTATGACTTAGCAGTCAAAACATGACTTCACCAACAGTGTAAACTTGAAAATGACATTTATAATAGAAGCTTTGATCAATTTAAGTATGATACCAACATTGCGGCTAAAATACGAAGTAGATGTCAGTTAATGTCAACCATATGACTGTTTTTGATGATTCACAAGTAAATGGTATTGGTTACATCAATTTCTACCTAGTTGACAAAAAAATGTCTTTTTTCAGCATTTCTGTTATAAAAAAAATTGTATGAATGCAAAAATAGGGTTTTATTTACGGCTTCCTTTGTTTATTTCGATGTATCGTATTCATTGTAGATTTAATATATTTCTATTTAAATAATAACTATTAACTATTTCAATGAATGCATAAAAAAAGCTTAATTTTAATCTTGTAATCACTTATTGATCATAATGTATAGTGGAATACCTCGACTAGTAGCTGATCTCTGGTAAAAAAACTCTAATCGAATTTTGTTTATTCAATTATATTCTATATTATTTAGTGAAAATGATGATCTTGCAACAATGATCATTGTTGATAGCATGTTTGGATTTACAACGCATAAAATGAATGTTCGTTTTCGATCGAATCGTCGTTTATCACCTCAATGGAAATCAGCTGTAGAACAGTTTCAACAACATATTGACTATGAAAGAGGCTTTAATGAATTGACATCAATTGGAAATTGGTATGATAATTTACGTGCACGTAAAAGTACAGTTCAATTAATTTCATTCAAAGAACATGTAAGTAATAAAAAAAACACAACAAGAACATATTAAAAACATGAAACAAAGCAATTTAGATGTTTCGTTTTCTACATTTGTTCAATAAAAATTCCGGTGTTACACTTGAGCCATGCCATCGCTATTCCACAGAAAATTTTGGAGGAAAAGTGGTTGCAACAAAAGAATGGTAAGAGAGGCTGTTTACAAAAGCGTAACATGTCAACCTTGCTTTTACAGATATCTGTTCTCATAATCATCTATTTTATTTGCTTTATCTCGAAAATGACAGGTCATAGAGAGAGAGTATTATATTCTAGCTATTCATTCATCCTTAGTATGAATAGTAAGAACAAACATATTTTACGGTCATAGACGATACGCAATACTTTGTGATACTAATATTAGTAGTTACAATTTTTTTCTATTAAAGAAACGATGATTCGAGCTCTATTCTATTTTCATTCGTGCCGTAATATTTTGTGGTTTATATAGATATATATCGCTACGTTGATTGGTCTATAATTCCAGACTGTTGATTTTATCAAAAAGTGTAGTGTTCTTGAATATTTATCAAACAAGAACGCATTGAGTGATTGAAGGCTAAGTTTCTTCTTTTATATTGTTGAAATATCTTTATTGGTTCAAATAGAATCTGATTTATTAGGAATAATATACGATCAAGAAATTTACATTTGAGATTTTCCCTTGATATTCAAAACTAAATTTATAGACTTTAATTTACTAATATTATGAATAGATAATTCTCTTGAGAACCTTTGTTTCATACTGCACAAAGCGAGTTAATTTCGTGAGTTTGTTTCAAAACTACAATATCAATGGAGAGCAGTTACTTTAGAGAGAGAGAGAGAGAGGAGAGAATAATATATCTCATTTGTTACACATAGACAAGAAACCCTCGATGTCGAGCTTCCGAACATCACCAAATTAAAAGCGTATATGAAGTATTAGAAAAAAGTCAGTTGTGAAAAACTTCAGAGAAAAATAGCTGTTTCATAAGTAGATGGGGAATAGATACCAGAACAGCTCATTATGCTTTCATAAAGCATGAAAAAAAATTGTATATTTTATAATAAATGAATATCTTAGGGACATCAATGACAAAATTGAAATGTTGATTGGATGCATCGCTGAATTAAGTCCTGAAGAAGAACATGCTTTTCTGAAACCAGGTATCAATGATTTTTCAGTTATGTATTCATGCCGTAAAAAATGTTCTCAATTATGGCTTGGACCTGCCGGTATTTTCAATCTAATAAAATATCAGTTTAATGTATATATATATATATATGTTGTTTACTCTTTTCTTCATTTAGCTTATATCAATCATGATTGTCGTGCTAATTGCAAAGTAATTTAAGAAGAAATTTGCTCAGTCGTAGATGTGCTTTTTAGATGATGATAGTTCATTTAGACAGTAGCTCTCGATAAATCTGAAAATATTTCAAAATGTTTTGAAGTTCTTTAACCTACTTGCAGGAAATATCAAAATTTTTCGGAGCTCCCACCTTATCATACTCAGGAAATATCGTAAACAATTTGAGGACTTAATTCGATATAATCTTTGATTTAATTAAAATTTTTGAAATCAACTTTAGCATGGTTTATTAGAAATCTTAGAAAATACTAACTTTCGAGTAAAACAAATGTTTTAAACTTCCACTTGTGAAAGAAAAAACTCAAGTAAGATATATTCAAGTGTGAAACATTTTTACACAAATTAAAATAGATGAAAAGTGTGAAATTCTACTTTGTGGATGATTAGCACGTCTGCATCCGCCAATGTACGTATGGTCTATTGAATCAATCCGGTCTAAAGCTTACTATTGTAGTCTATTGGTAGCGGAATCTATCTAAGATGATTAAAGCGAGTTCCTATTGACTATGAAATAGAATTTTTTTTTAAATAAATATGATCGAGATCTTCTTTCTAGGTCGAAATGTCAGTTCAAAAGCATTTTAATAGTAGGAAACTTGAGTTCTTTAATACTTAAACATGTATATTAATTCTATAGAGTATATTTCTTCTAGTTTGTAGCAACCGGTCTAAGTTCGGCTTATATTCATGTACTTCGTCCGATTGATATTGGTGATGAAATAACTTGTTGTTATGGATCGGATTTTTTCGGTGATAATAATTCACATTGTGAATGCCGCAGCTGTGAAATGTAATTTAATCTTTTCAAATTCGAATTTCTTATGTGAAAGTGAACTGTATTTTAGACTTGGCAAAGGTGCATTTTTAGAAAAAAAACCATCTATACCAAAAGCTGCAACAAATACAGATCCTGTTTCAGTACAAACAATTTCATCTTCTAAGGTTCCGGAAGAACAAGGAACATCATCATCTCATATGAACACAATTATTCACACACGTTTACGCCAGACTGATAAACGACTCCTTCGTAAAATTCAATCAGTCGATAGCATGATTCCAAAACAAGAAAAAAGTAAGAAATCTCATCACTAATTAAAACATTATTGATAGATTTAACGCAGAAAAAAGCGATGAAGAAATGAATACAACAGTTTCTAAGCAGCCAACAGTAGTCTATCGTAATAAAAATGGTCAATTTGCTCCTTCACCAAGTGGATCAAAACCAATCAGGATGGTAAACAATCTCCTATAAACTTTATGAATATTATTTTTATATACATATACACTTTTTTTAAACTAATTTCAGCGTTCTCCAAAGAAAAAAGAAAAAACTTCAAATAGTTCTACATTACATTCACATTTAGCTACCTATTCTTTGTCAACATCAAACAAACAAACACTGCATCGGCAATCAACTAACTCAGATTCGTCGATGTCAAAATCATCAGTGACAGTTCAACGTGATAAACCATCCAAGACAATTCCATCTGTTAGTTTTGATAAGTCTAATTCAAATTCTCTTTCATCAATAGTAACAACGAAAGAAGCTAACGTGGTAAATTCGAATGTAAGCAAACAAGAATGATCTCTTAAAATTATTATCAAGTTGTTTTTTAGTCATCAACGATAAATACTCGACCATCTCGTCTCCTATCACCTAGATTATCAATATCTTCATCATCTTCATTATCATCACCACCATCGCCACTGTATCCTAGCACTCATCGACGTACTTCATCTCAACATTCATCATCGTCATCAGCAGCATCATTATCAGCAACACCTCATTCAAATAATCCAAACTTTCTCCTTTGGCGTCCAACAATTCGTTTAAGTCGCCATTCAAGTTCTTCAACGATCAGTTCTTTATCGTCAGCGGCAGAGAATGAACAAAATAATACCAATGCAATAGCTTCACGACAAGTTGTTTCCAAAGTAAAGATTCGTATGAGACATGATCCATTTTTATTGGATGATGTCGAAAATATAAAATCATCCAAGCCATCGATGCTTACAGTTAAACTTGATAACAAAAAACGACCACTAATGGATACATCGATTCACGAAAGATCATCGTTACGTACAAGAAAACGTCGGAAACCGGAACAAAATCAAGAGTAGCATTTGTTGCATATGTTTATTTGGCATGGCTCAGATTGTTTTTTTATTTATATGTATATATATATGGATTCGCTGTATTCATTATGTTGTGTATTATCGTTATTCAAACTTTGACTTCTATTGTGTCTGTCATTAAACAGAGAAAGAAATACCATCCAAACTAGATATCATCATCATAATAAAGTCTACTCGATGCCACATTTCATTTGTATATAATGGAATTGATACAAAACTATTGTTTGCATTTCTAATACGATTATTTCATGTAATAAGCTGAAAATTGATAAATGAAGTTAGATCTATTACGTATTCTATCATTGATCCGATACGGCGTCTATCTGATTGAACATATGAGAAATAAAAACATTTTGCATAAATTTGTTTTTCAGTATAATTTAACAGTTCGTCATAGAGATTCCATATAGTTTCGCTGTTAGCCAGAGTAAAATATCACTACTTAGCAACTGAGAAAACACTTCAACACGGAAACAAAACTATGTTAGAATAGTATAACCGTTAGAAAGACACACTCAGATTTCAAATTGACTCAACCTCTGTGATTATATCAGCATGAAAGTATCGTGCTACACGAAAGAAAAAACATGTGAAGTATTAAACACCTAAATTCTAACTTTCGTTGTAAATTTGGGTAGTTCCGTTCAACATGTGATCGTCTTTCACTTTTCCCCTAATGAACAGTTAATAGGAGATTTTATGATGACCAGTCCGTTAAACCTGACCGTTTTGTTTTTGGTACGTTATTTTGTTTTAAAATTATGTAAAATGTAGTCGTCGGATTGCGCCATCTATGATACTGGATTTATTCGAAATCTTCAGACTTTATTCAAATAACAATTATAAAATCTTTCATTAGCACTTATAATAGTTATTCTTTGAGTATACTTTCATTTTACTAACCACTATCAGTTTAACAATATCTGTCACTGATTAGTTATTCAACCATTTGTTCCTTAGTCATTAGTCACATCTGCATCATTGGTATTTTATGTACATGGATATGATCATTTTTATTAATTATGCGAGTCTGAGTCAAAAAACTGCAATGATATTCTAAGTACACATCGGATGAGTCATTTCTTTGACGTCATTTTAAACTCACGAAGCAAAATAAATGACTCTATCGATATGGCTTCTAAAGCTTCATATATTGATATTCGCGCAACACATCAAATTATAGCAAAATCTATATCTTTTTAATTTTAGATCAGGCTATTGAAAGTATTTTTATCATAAAATGATTAATAGTGATTCATCCAGATAAATTCAAATCGATTGTATATATCTGTTTTGTGCAAATTTATTAGAATGAGACGATTTCCAGAGATACTGAAGGATTATAATTCATTTTATGTGGAATTGAGTTGTTTAATATTAGATGAACCCATTGAAGCTGAATTCGATAAACTATGGATTCTTTTACATCATTAATCTATCATCGAATAATGTGTGTGAAAGGGTACATGTATTAAAGCGAAGAGTCAAGTCTCTTTTTCAACTGTATAAAAAGAGTTATTTATTCAAGTTAACCATTTTTGTACAGTTCTAAGAAAACTTGAGTTTAAAATGACTTCTTTACTATCTCTCTCTCTAATAACGTGAATCTTGGTATACACAGTTCCAGTTGTTGGAGTGTATAATAGTTTTTACAAAATCCTTTTTCGGTTTCAAAGTGAATCTAAAATATATTTGAACTATCAACGATCTTATTAGATTTATTACCGACTGGAACATATTGATTTCTATATTATTTTAAACTAATTTATAAAATATGTTTATTATCTCTGACACAGATCATCATTCTGATGTAAACAAAACTTTTAAGCTTGAGTTTGATATTTATTTCGAATCCTATACATAGATTAAGACGTTAAGAATCAGTTTTGAATTCAAGATTAATTCGACGGTACAATATACTATTTCTTCAGATAAATTTGGATTTCTTACGAATTTTTCTCAGAGAAAACCATGTTGATCAGAAAAATTTGAGTTATATTTATTTAATTCTACCTAATAAGCTATAAACATGCTTGAGTGTAAATAGTATAGCTTTAAAACAATATGTTCAATCTGTTCTAAAACAATACAGATCAACGGATGAGGATTAACCACTCAAATTAAGATCTTTTGTCTATAGTATAGAATTTTATCTAACACGTCGTTTTTTTGCGTGATTTCGCTAATTTTCTCTTTGAATATGATTCTTTTTTTCCTAAAAAACATTGTTTTTCAATTGAAACGCCTTAGATAATAAAATTTTCCATAAAGTCTTTTAATTGTTTTATGAAATGGTAACTTCTAGGAATAGTTTTTCAAGCATTGAAATTGTCATAATATGTCTACACATAAAAAAATACAAACTATAGAAAGAATTACAATGGCCATACCGGTCTGATACACTTTGATAAAATTAATTTAATCTATAGGATAAAAATCTAGAGAGAATTCTAGATCGCTTAATGAACTATCTTTGACTCACTTTTAGTGAATTGTTGTCAAATATTTAGTTTTATAGAGTTGACAAACATAAGTTGCATCCATAATTATATACCTGAATATACTTCAAAAACTATCATATAATTTGAATGCACAGGTCAATTATTGATGTTTTGAGGAATGATGAGGAGATTCAGATACCATTTTTCACTCTACGTGTACTTCGAATCTTTCAATATGATAATTTATATTTACTTAAAGGTGCTAAATCATATATATATCAGGATAGAATAAGAAAAATAGAGTTATACTGATTCTGTATTGTGGGTATTGAGTCATTTATAGAGAATAGAGAGGTTAAAATCGTATTGTTTTTATTCAGAGAATATTACGTTTTAAAATTAGATTAGTAAGTGTATTTGTATAAGTATAGCATTTCCTTTTTTAATAAAAATATTAGATCGACAGATGATGCACCACCGATGTTGAATGATTAATTTATTGAGAATACTGCTTTAAAGTCTAGAATGATTTCAAACCGATGAACAATCAATTCGAATAAAATATAGATGTATTGTCGTAAAAAGAGCACAGCGAGAGAGTGAAAATTGACACGATTTTATATCGAATCTTCCATAAAGCTAGACAAAAACGACGCTATTACTACAGAAATATCCGATTTCGTACAGAAAAATTCAATGTTCGTGCGGTTAACTCTGAAATGTTAAATATTTCTTTTTCCAGAAATTCGTAGTGCAGATTTGAGTTTTTACTATATTCTTTCATATTAAATTTCAAGTAGTACTGTAAACGATGCTTGACATATCCATCATACATATATTGTGTTTTTTTGATTCGATATTATTTTATTGACTTGTACGATTATCTAGCTCGCTGTTGTCAGAGATTTTTCTTATAACTTGATTGACTATAAGAGATTTTCTCAAACTTTTATAGCTTGGCGTTTTCTTTATTTTTTTGAATCATTCTACTGACGATCATTTTGATCTTTCCTCCTCTTTTTTTCCTACATTTTGTTTATCGATTACTCTAACTCCACCAGACAGAATACAAAGGTAAATGTTATAATGCAGATATACACTTTTATCCTCGAGCTTTTTCAAATTAGTAATTCAAGAACTGAAGTGCTAATAAGTATCAATGTTTCGATTGGAAGTCAATAAATTCCGTTTTTCTTTTTCTTGTTCGTCATTTTATTGTCGCTAAATATACTAGAAAAAAATCATTCGATACGATCGTAGAATACGTGAAGGAAAAGAAAAGAAAGTATTACACTTTTATTGTTTTATTTCAGATAAAAGAATTGCTCATTTCTGTTTTTCAGTTTAATTTTGATTTCATTTTGAAAAAACAATGAGTAGCGGTGAAACATCGGACGCTTTTCTACAACAAGTTTTTCGCAAGTGAGTGCGTCTATTTTTCTATTACTAACATTTCTATAATGATAAAATGATTTTATTTAATATTTAGGGTAGATGCTGATGGATCAGGTGCAATATCTTCAAATGAACTTCAATCGGCTCTTTCTAATGGCACATGGAGTCCATTTAATCCCGTATGAAATTTTGTTGAAAGATATATTAATGTATTCGAAGCAAAAACATAACTTTTCTCATTTAGGAAACTGTTCGAATGATGATAGGTAAGTTTAGAAAATACTAGTAACAATTAATCAAAAACGGTTGTTTTAAAATGACAATTTGGTTAAGAAAAATATTGTGTAGAGAATAGAGCGATAAAATTATTTTCAGGAATGTTTGACAAGGATAATTCATCAACAATTGACTTTAATGAATTTAAATTATTATGGAATTATATAACACAATGGGAAAAAATATTTCGTAGTTTTGATGAAGACCGCAGTGGTTCAATTGATAAGAATGAATTTAGAAAAGCGTTAACGACATTTGGTAATGTAAAAAAAATAGAAAAGAATGACTTCGTGTTGCACATATTTACATTTCGATCGACAATCGAAGAATAAATGCTTGCTTTGGTTTTTCCCATACCTTGTTTTTGAAAGCAATAAAAGCAATATAAATTATCCTATTGGCCGATTATTTGCTTCCATAGGTATGTTTGATCGTGATGGGTCATCAACAATTGATTTCAAAGAGTTTCGTGCTCTTTGGCATTATGTTACTGAATGGGAAAAATGTTTCAGGTTCGTAAATATTGTTTTAAGTAACTGAATCTTGAATATTGAAAATTTCGTTTGAATTTCAGGAGATTCGATTTGGATGGTAGTGGTACTATTGATAAGCACGAGCTTAAAATAGCATTGAGCTCGTTTGGTATGTTTCTTTTCGTAGATATTTTATGGCGAAGAAAATTATTTTCAAATTCGCCTAATCTATTCAATCAGTGCTTATCGTTACTAATGCAAACGTATATACATGATACTAATTTTATTAAACAAGACTGATCTGTACTTGTCCTACTATTAGTCTTCGTTCTTCTGTTTCATTAAGATTGTCGATCCATGTAAATGCATGCATTACACGCGTTCTTTTCTTTTTCTAATCTTTTCCCAAGCTATTTTACTAATTCAATGTTTTATCGTTTATTTTTCAGGTTATCGTTTATCAGATCGTTTCTACGATTTACTTATTAAAAAATTTGATCGATCTGGTCGTGGCACCGTTGCATTTGATGATTTCATTCAAGCATGTGTCTCAATTCAAACATTAACCACTGCTTTTAGTCAACATGATCACTTGAAAACGGGAGAAATAACAATTAATTATGAAGATTTCTTATTACTTGCCTTTTCCCTTAAAATGTAAATAGACCATCGAGTAAAAAAAATAACTTGTGCCTTTTTTTCATCATTCTCAGAAAGCTTTTTTCTTTTGGATTTTCATGTATCATACAGAAAAAAAGCAGCAAAACAATATCTCCATAACTGTTGTCATTTTGTTTTCTTATACACATATTGACTTTTCTTTTTTTTTCTTGTCTTTTTTCTTACTTAGGCGGCTCAATTCAAATTAATGTTGAACACACGAAAAAGACTTCAATCGCGATTTTCTTTTCTTCCATATTTGTGTTTCTTTTTCACTGTGATGAGTGAATCTCAGCTGGTCTAATTTTTGCATTTCGGTTTTTCTATCTATTCCATTAATGATTATATGAACCGGCTGAGCAAACGTTTCCATTTATTGATTATTAGAACAACGTGAATTCATTTTCCTTGCCTTATTCTATTATCAAATAAAATCCAAAAATATTTTCTTTTTTTTTCTCTTAGATATAAAACCTAAACGGTTGCCACTTTGATCTGTAAGGTTTTGTTTAATGTTCGTACACTTGGTTAAGGTATTAGAGAAATAGTTGAATACCATTAGAACAACCAAGACAAGACTTGATAAAAATCGACAATAAATAAGAAGCAGTCATGACAATCTTACACTAATTATACTTCATGTTAGCTGCTACGTACGAAAATAAACATTATCATTAATAGAATATGAATGACTAGTGAAAGAATTACCAAGTCTGTTGCGTGCCCTTCCAAAGCGTCTTGAAAAAATTCTTGACGAATTTTTCTCAACAAAGCTACTGATTCTATGGTTGTACCCTTTTCAACCTACATATCTTAAGACTATGCTTCTTTTAAACTACGGTGATAGAGATAGATATCGGAAGTAAGAAGTACCTCTTATTGTCAATAGATAGAATAGTTTTCGATAAATAACTATAAGAGAATCAGTAAAAAGCTCCTATATTTCTAAAAACGGTATATTATATCATTAGTAACGTTCTCGTACGTAATCTGCCACACCTATGAATGCAGGATATTTTAACGAGGATAATAAACTAAAACAGTGAAATAACTAGATATCAAATGTAGGGGAGAAGTTGTTAGTGTATTTATTGCAGTATCAACAAAAACAATGTGATACAGTTGCTTTTGTTAACGCTAGGATACTTGTTTTATTTGATGGGTTTCGATAAGAAAATTTTCCCTGTAATTTTAATTGAATCTTAAGAAAAAATAAAACCGTATCTATCTACTATTCATATCCGTGCATCAACAAAATCGGTGGACAGCCCAAATGTTTACTTTGATACTATAAAACTACTTTTGACTTTATTTGAAAGGAAACATTTAAAATGATACCAACATTGTAGTTGAAACTGAGATTGAGATGGGCAAAAAATAGATCACACGAGAATAGGCTGACAAATAGTGAAAGGATCAGTCATTGATAGAGGGATAGAAAGAAAAGTGAGAGTCACTAAATTAGATAATTGAACTTTAATAGGATCTATGCGTTAGATAAGTAATACTGTAGTTCAATATTAAAAAAAATGTCTTTCTAAGAACAGTCTCCATATTCAAAGTTTTGAAAATTTTGTCTCATCTTATGGTCCTATTAACATATGATGTAGCTTAAATCACGCTCAAGAGCGTTGAAGTCTAGAATTTTCAAATACGAAATATTTTCTTATGAAAATAAATTTAACAATTAACTTCTATTCAAGTATCTAGCTGTTACAGCCAGAATAAGATGTTGATGAATTTCTCAACGATAATTTTGTTCCAAATAAAAATGTTACAAATTTTTAGAAAAAAATTCATTACTTTCAAGAAAATTGATTCTAGTGAAAGAAATGACGACATCAGAAAATTTTGTTTTTTGTTCTCTTTTACAAATAAGATTTTAAAATATGACGTAGTGCATACATCGTTTTTCGGTCTTTAGAATAAGTTACATAATCGGAAGATTGGACACAAGAAATATGCCAATCGATTTTGTTGTTTTCACCAGTTTTATCACATATTCATAATTCTAATTAACTAAGAAACGATTCCATTAAAAATAATAGTAAAACACTACCGAATTTTATTTTACTTTTCAAAAAAAAATTATAGTAACAACAAAATGTTCGCGCACTTTTCTCTTAAATGTTTTACTTTGTCAAACTAGTTTATGGTCTTTTGCCAATAGTAGTTGGCTGATGCCATCAATTTTTGTTTCAATAATTCCATTTGTCTTTAAATGTATAGTTCGTAATACAGATAGAATAGTTGCATTTAAGCTTTTAAATTATTAAATATAAAACTTGTACAGCGTATTTCTACTGGATAAAAAAAAATAAAAGTATCTAGTTGATGTGGTCACCCTCTCGACTATTATCGATACTCATAGAGATTTGGCAAATACATTTTCTAGATCTAAACTTATTTGTAAATAGAAATTTGTTTTTTTACTAATATTGAATTTCAGATAGACTATCACAATGGGTAAGAAACGTAAGATATCATCCTGTGAAAACAACGAATCAGAAGAAAAAAAAGAACAAGAAGATCAGCAAGAAGAAGAGGATGAACAATTGGAATCTTCAGTTGATCAATCTGAACCAAATAATGAAGTTATTCATGCTTCTAAAACTAAAAAGAAACCAATACCTGGTGTTATTTATCTCAGTCGAGTTCCAGATAAAATGAATGTGACAATTATTCGATCGTATTTTGATCAATATGGGCAAACTGGACGAATTTATTTGCAATTATCAAGTAAATAATCGTTTTTCTTCAACAGAAATTGAAATTCCAGATTTTTCCCTATCAAAGATTTGCTAGTATTTCTAGACATATTTTGTTTTAGCAAAATATGTATATACCCAACGCCAATTTACTCGTGTCGAATTGGCATTCACTGACAGAATTATTTGTTTAGATTAACATTCGAATAGTAGATTTTGCGTTCTTATTGTTGCCAGAACTGATTATCAGATGCATATGTTCTCATTTGTCATTACAAAACTTCCTTATTACTATGTTATCCTACACAGTGTTGTTGCTCCCACGACAAAATTGTTCTGCTTATACAAAAACCTATTGGTTTAAATTTTTATTAGTTTTGTATCAATTCAAGTTTTTATTGTAGATAAGATAATCCTTCATGACGTGTGCCCCCTTGTTTTAGTTTGCTATTCTATACAAGACTTCGATATAATCTCAGCTAAATAGAAATAAGGATCAGGAACTAATGCAGAGTAAGATAATCTAATATATTAACAAAAAGTCAGAGCTTTCAATTAGTATCAACGTATTCCGATTCAAACAATATTACATTTGTGTTTAAAAAATTGAAAGATGAAATTAGACTCATTTCTTATCACTATTTTATTTTTACTATTCAGCCAAATTATTAATTTAGTCGAACAAATGCCATACCAGTGCAATCATTTCGACACTCAGATTCGTAAATTGTAGTCAAATTATCGGCATTTACAATTGAACATATTGGGAAAATGTTAGCATCTTTGAGGCAACAGTTCGATGATAGCATTTATTTACTTTTTGAGCTAAATCGACCACCATAATTCTGCTTGTATTTCTTTAGAGTTTTAGAAAAAACACGGTTCACATTTCTTAGTCAAGGATTTTATGTGTTTTAAGCTGAAATAAAAAGTCACTGTTAAACTATTCGATACAATATGCAAATCGTTGACAGTAGTATGAAAAAACCATACAACATGTGATTGTAATTGTATGTTTCAACAGAATTAATTAATTCTGCCGTCACATTCATTTTCCAGATAGCTACGAATGGAAGTCATTATTGATAAACTTATTGAATCGATATCCTGTACGTATATCGTGTGAAAATTATAGTTCACTAACACTTGTACATCATATCTTTGGAACTATGAATAGATTATGCCTGTGCTATTGAACTTAATAAATAGGTTCGGTTTCAATCGATGATGATTGTAAAAGCACCCTTCTCCAGAACTATATTTTAGATGTTACGTTTTATCCTTGAATTTGTAAACCTACAAAGTTATCGATTTCGATTAGTTTAAACTTTGTTCTCAATGCAATCAGTTTTTGAAACAAGCGTCTTTCATACCTTTTCTTTGCATAGAAGCAATAAGGGCCATTTATAGAAGTGTTTCATGGTAATAAGAGCGACATAAAATAGTGTTTACTTATGTAACACATACAACGTTTATTTAAGTGTACGCTTTTGTTTCGTTTCGATCTTTTAATGATTCTTCCAAATGTAAAAGATATTTTTTTTCTAAAGGAAAACCTAATATATTAATTTCTTCTAAGAAAATTTCTTTGATTTTTCAGTTCTCCTATAACACACGTACATATATCTGTTGGTTTTTTTTTAATATAGAAGATGAAGGTAAAAGTAAACGTGAGCGTGGACCAAAATATACTGAAGGTTGGGTTGAATTTAAATCCAAACGTGATGCTAAACTCATAGCCAAGCAACTTAATAATCAACAAGTTGGTGGACGAAGACGTACACCATGGTATGATGAAATCTGGAATATAAAGTAAGTTATAAATACGTATTCATGATTCTTTTATTACAATTTATTGATTAGATATCTATCAAAATTTCGATGGGCTCATCTTCATGAACGTTTTCAATATGAAAATGAAGTACGAAAAAAACGATTACGACAAGAAGTTCTTCAAGCTAAACGTGAAGCAAGTTTGTACATTGAAAATGTTGAAAAAGGCCGTAAATTACGTAAGCTTGAAAGAAAAATGAAAAACTCATCTGAAGATATAAATATTCGTGACTGGCATTATGACCAACAAGATCCACATGAAGCTGCTGCACAACGTAAAAATAAAAAGAAACAACAACAGCAACAATCAACTGGACTTACTGAAAATTTGTTAAAACAAATTTTTCCATCTTAAAACTAAAACTAGAAATAAATCAATGTTTTCTTTGTATTTCATACAGCTGAAAAAATAAAGTTATATTATTGACACAAGCATGTTCCATACTGTGCGTAACATATATGTAATTTGATCATTTTTATTTTCGGTGAACGAAATAAATACGTAATACTAATAGGATCAAACGCACAGCATGATGATTAATATAAACTAGACATGTGATTGCCACAAGCATAGACATTAAACTGATCAAACATTGGACAGGAAATGCTATTGGATGAAGTAAAAATCCTATTTTGATGTATACAATATTTTTCTAAAGTAAATATACGTATTTGCAGAACGCTTTGAAGTTCAAGGAAATTTTAGATATATCATATTCTGTATGACGAGTAAAATATTTTCCAATTTGATTTTCATTCGATTTTCTATATTATTCAATTGATAGCTAGCTAGTAGCTTAAGGCATCGATGTATGCTTGTACTTATCTTCTCTAGCGTACGTATGTTTATTCAAATTAGTTTAGCCAATTTTCCTGTTCATCGGAATGAATGTATTTCGTTCTTTCTATGGTAATGGAACAAGTTAAACAAACATTCTCTCTTGACAACTTCTCCGCCTCGGCCAATTCAAGCAAGCAAAAAGAAACGAGCGAATGAGAATTTCTGTTGTTCTTTTTTTAGATTTCATCATTGTGAGAAGTGTGCAACTTTTGTTCATTCAATTTCAAGTTCTTCGCAAACAATTGAAAAAAAAAGAAACGTACTTTTGAGAATAGTGCATGGCACTCAATTCTATATACGTATATATTGTTAGGTCTATAGGAAAAAAAATACATATATGTGCAATACCCGAGGGTCAATCAGTTGTTGCCTTGAATCAACAACCATTAGTGTTTAACCGATCAAATTTGATATGAGAAACAGGTTGATGAAGACACAAAAAAAGCTACCAAAAATACTAATTATGTGCAGTTTTTTGTCTCATCCATCAATCAATCAATCAATCAGTTGTGTTCGATTCTCGTCAATTAAAAAAACAGAAGAGGAAGAAGAAGAAAGATATAAAAAGAAAAAGCTGCTTCATTATACTGTTAGCTAAGAATAACAAAATCTATTTGACTATCTCTTCATTGAATATTCATTCATATTGCTTATATAAGACATCAAATTGAAAGTTTGAGATTGATTAAAGCAAATATGTCAACTGTTAGTTTTGTTGTCATTTCATTTGCTCATAGTTAATCGAAAAAAGTCAAGTGCATTTTTTGAAACAGTTAATTTCAAAATGATCGGCTGTCTATTTTCACATAGATCACGATTATGTATACATATATGTATAGAATTCCGGAATCCGGATATCTACTTCAAACTAGCTATAGATATCTCTTTATCAATAGAACCGTTAGTTTGTTGTCTTTAGGCAATATTAACGCATAGGTTGATGACTTTTTACATAAAATCTTATTCAGCAAAATAATTTAAAAAATTTAAAAAGGAGCGTTAACACATCTATAATTTTTCAGTAGAACATTTCTTTTTTTTTCTTCTTCTATAGTTATGCTTATATAGACTTACAGCAGATGTGAAAATGTAGTTAAGATTGAGCCAACTTAATTGTTTTCTTAACATTAGCTACCATATGTGAATGTTGTTCGGTTCACTCATATGAGAGTGATGATCAAGACGAAGACGGTTGATGCATTAATTAAATATTCATTTGAATTATTATTAATAGAGAAACTAATACTGATGATTGTGAGTACTCGTACAGATATATATATATATATGTTTCTATATGAAGTAAAAAAAAAACATTTTGCATTCGTTCTGAATGATTAAGAGAAAAAAACAAAGACAAGAGGAGGGTAGGATAACAAAGTTTGTTGTGAGACCCTGTCGAAGAATGTGTATTTATGTTACAAATCTGTATAAATATATGCTTTGATCATGAAAAAAAAACTAATCCATTAAGATACAAAGAACGATCGTGACAGATGCAGAAAAGAGAAAATCTAACATGAAAGATAGACATAAATAACAACAGATTTTCTTACTCTTAAATATCGATAGACTATTTGTTATTTATCAAAAATCATGAATCAATCAATCAATCAATTGGTGAGTGAATTTTTCTATGATAACAAGCTGATTTTTCCTTGAATAAGACAGTAGAAAAAAAAAGATTTTAACTTGTTCCATTTAATTTATTTCGTTCTCTATCTTTTCATACCTTGCAGCTAACAAACGAAACCTTTTATATATAAATCACTACAACAAAAACAACAGATGAACACCTTGTGCTGATTGACGATGCCAATGTGTTTATACAAATATTATTTCAACGACGTCACTGATCTTAAATGACCGCGTGACGAACTTAAACCGACACTAATTATATCCAATAGGCAAAAATCAAAGTTTTATTCTATGCGGCGCCGGAAGAATGGATTATCGACATGTGTCAAAGATCATTTAATTTTTCAGATTGATCGTAACTGTTAAAAAAAGAATAACAATTCTCAATCAGAAATGCAAAACGAAACATGACTAACAAATGGTTCAGAGGAGAGACACGGAAGATTGAGTCATGTTTTCCAAAGTTTTCTTTTTCGCGATAGAAAACGATTTAGTCTAAATCGTTTAGACTGAGATGATTTTCATACTTTTAAATCTTTTTTTTTCTCAGGATCTCTCCGTTTTTCGACGTATCCAATGGACTTTATTGAAAAATGACTGTTTTTTCTCTACAAATGATCAAAGAAAAGTCAAAAAAGTTCCCAATACATGTACATCTTGTTTTAAATTGACCTATCAATAAATCATGTCGCCTTCTCTTTTTTTTTAGTTTTTCTCTCTTCTTCGAGAAGAACAGACGCGACTTGTCAAAAAAAGTGTAGTAACAACAACAATATTTCTCCTGGACGACGAACGATGTAAAAAATAAACTCGTTTTGATTGGTCAAAAATTCTGATTCGTGTAAGAGAAAAGAATGTCATCGCAATAACGATTGGGTAGTAAGTAGTAGGAAAAAAAAAGAAGTAGAACAAGAGAGCAAAGAAAAACTCGAATGGGTTTGTTATTCTTATAGCGATGAAAGAAAAAAAAATTGCTTGATGAGTAAGCATATGTTAGTAGCAGTCTCTTCGCGCTTGTTATATTATTCTTGATTATCGGGAAGAACTTGTATTTATTTAATCAAGAAAAAAAAAATCTTCGTGTCCAAGGCTGTAGAAAAAAAGCAATAGAGAGAGAGAAAGAGGGAGAGAAAGAGACACAGAGAAAAAGTAATAAAAACAGTCGATCAAATCGTAATTTCTGTTTATTATTACGAAAAACATACATTCGTCTATCCCCCAGTCGATTTTTTTTAATGTTATATATCGACTAGACCCGTGTTTGTTTTATTTGGTTTATAGTATCAATGTTATTGTTTTCTCTTTTCTGTTATTAAAATAATCACTGTGATAATCAATTAATATTATAATTCTCCCCTATTTGTTTGTCTCATTAAACAAAAAATAAAAGAAAAATGACAAATTCAACATCCCCACCAATAACTTCATCAACAAATAATAATTTAACATCAACAAATTTTTCCAATTACTATGATTCGACTAGTGCAGCAGCAGCAGCAGCGGCTGCTGCTTATTATGGGCCAACGACAAATCGATTAATGCAAACAACATCCGCATCAGTACCAACCTATAATGTTCACCAAGCCAATCCATATTCCGGTTATACAGATGCAGCTGCATATCATTTACTGTCACGTCCATCAGCGGCTGCTTATTCTTATGCAATGGCAACGGTTAATTCTAAAGAATTGGCTAAACCGGCTATGAGTTATATAGCATTAATAACATCAGCTATTCAAAATAGTCCAGGTCAAAAATGTACTTTAAATGGAATTTATCAATACATAATGGATCATTACCCTGTAAGTTTTTGATTCTTTTCTCTCGCTCTCTAAGATGTACCTAATGCAATAAAACATTTGAATTTTAAAACAACATGTATATTGGATGTTACTCATTTTTTACATACGTATAAGTATATTTCTCTAGTTTTTGTATTTAATGTAAATTTGAAGTTTATTAGAAAGGATTATTTAAAATTGACGTGTAGGGTTGTACAGAGATTATTTGAAATTTGTAAGATCGAATTAACTATTTTTTTTTGCAGAAATTGGGAAATACCAAAAAAATTGATTTTGATTGAGATAAAACAAAATAACTTTTCCAGAACTGGATTGAACATCCTTGAATCAAAATAATACTGACATTTTGATTTCTTTGTTTTTTTTTAAAATAGTATTATCGAGAAAATAAACAAGGTTGGCAAAATTCTATTCGTCATAATTTATCATTAAATGATTGTTTTGTGAAAGTTACACGAGATGATAAACGACCAGGTTTGTTAAAATATATGTTTGAATCTAATATATACAATTATTTTGTAAATAGGGAAAGGATCCTATTGGATGCTTCATCCTGAGTCGCATAATATGTTTGAAAATGGTTCTTTTTTAAGACGACGTCGTCGTTTTAAACAAGAATCATCAAATAGCCATCATCGAAATCAACATGGACCACGACAAAAAGGACATCGAAATTCACCAAATTTAACTAGTCCAACTAATCAAACTGACACAAGATCTAATGAAACTAAATCAAGTCGTTCACGTGTTCAACTTGAAAAAGAGACAACATCAGATGATACTGATTTTTTAGAGCCACCAAAAAAAGTATTAAATCTTGTTTTTCTTCTTCTCTTTCTTAACAAACTGTGTTATTGAATATGAAAATTTTTAGAAACATGCCGGTGAATATACAACTCCAAAAGTTGAACCAGTTGAAGCCAGTGAATCAGGTGACCATCCATCAACTTATGCTCATCCATCATCACCAAAAACACCGCCATCGTCATCATCAACGATGAGAATACCAAATTTTAATCTTTTTGATACAATGACAGCTGCTGGAATGTATGATTCAACTGTTAATTCATCAGCCACTGCTAATAATAAAAATAATTTTTATCATATTCAAAATGGTAATCATCATAATACACAACATATTTATTCTTCAAATAATGAATATGGTTCTTCTTCTATGCCAACATCACATGGATATTGGCCTTATGCAACTCAACCATATTTTCCAGCAACAACAAGACAATATATGGTAAATCAAATACCTTCTACATCGCTATCGGACACCTGTGCGTCAACTACTCAACAAGATTTATCCTATCATACACATGGATCTTATCCACATATGCAGAAAACAGTTGGAAACTATCCAACAAGTTACGAATTCTATCAACCACACAATGCCAAATACTGTTAAATTTTTCTTTTTCATTTTTCATTTTTTTTTAAATGTAGATAGTGCTTTCGTGTGTGCGCATTTATGATCTGTTCCTTTATTTTCAAAATATGATCCATTCTCTTGCTTTGTGATTATTGTGTTTATATATGTCCGTATTTGTGCATCCAATAATGAGAAAATTTTGATATTTGAAGAATTATCGGTATCTATTTGTTTGAGATGATGAATTTGAAAATAACTTCAAATTTAAGATAAATTATGTAAATAATGTTGGAAACTGTTATTCGAGAATAATCGTTGCAACTAATATATTGTTTTATAGGAAATCGATTAGATAGTAAGACAGTGAAGAATACATCACTAATAAAGAGTTCACGTGAGTATCAATGGAATTAATTTTCGTGTTCGCAGCAATATTTGCAAAATCATTTCTAGCGGAATTTCATCGTTCTGTAGCGATGTGTTTCAACGTTTCAATTGTCAGATGAACTTGTCTAAAGTTTGTCACAATTACCATGTGGCTTTAGAAGAGGAAAGTTACCATTGCTAATCAATTAGTTTATTAGCCTAACTTGTTATTGTTTAAAATTGTTACCGATCAATGGCATTGAAACACTTGAGCGTAATGGGTCTATGTTCTTCTTTTTTTTAAGTCCTGCTTCTGAACATCCGTTTCACTTAAGAGAACAAATTTTAAAATGACAAAATATATGTTAGAAACAGAAAATAAATTTCATATTGATAGCACTAACATCGAAAAAAGTTTCGTTAATGAATGAGGTCTCATATAATTTTGATGGGTTTTTATTTTTCTTGTTTGTTTTATTCTTACAGTAGAATAGTTGAGTAGAGAGTACAATATGATTGCGCATAGGATATCGCACTGTCGCCAGATAAATTATTTAAACTGTTCATATCAGTTATTTGCTGGTTGTCTATATTTAGAAATGTGATTCAGGTTTCAATCGTATTGACATTTTAAAAGATGTTTTTGCTTATCCTTGTAGAACAATTTCTGTGATTTCGTATGAAAAATGAAAAAAGAATTTACTTTTATTACTTTTTAAAGTACAGATGAATATTGCTGGGAGTGTATGTTTTTGTTTCTATAGTATGATGTGTTTTCTAGTGTTTCTTATTTACATTATCGATTCATTGACGCCAAAAATCGAACTGAAATGCATTCATGAACTAAAATTTTGTTGCATCTTGTAAAAAATATTTCTTTAGTGTTTTTTTTATAAATTGTTTTATGTAAAATATGTGCCTGAAGGTACTGATAAAACACAGATCAAACAAAAACAAACTGATGTGTAACCGAGATAACCCGGAGGTTGTTTATAAATACTGTTAGTTAACCGGCATCTTTTTTTATCCGTGCTTAATGACGAAGGAAGCAGAGACAAATATCAAGTTCGCCGTTTCCTTTAGAAAATTTGATTTTCCGAAAATAAAAGTTGTTCATTCAGTTTAATAAAAGAAAAGTAATCGACTTTAATATATCTAAATTTAGGGTTAATTTGCTTGAAAAATCAAACTTACGAATTGTGACGAGCTAGTTCACGAGTCTAATTGCTTCATCCAGAACTTTTCGATTCAACTTCACAAAAATCCACGATTGAAATATATGCATTCAAAACAGTCTGGATTTCATAAACGACTTTTAAAATTAAAAATCACGGCAGTAAATGAAACAGAATAGAGAACATCCCTGAAAAACTCAAACGATTGAGATTGATAACACATGTCGACTCTCTTATTACGTGACTTTTTCAGTAGTACTGAAATTTATTTGATAGACACCTGTTCACAGACATTTTTATTCATCCATCAGGAATTCTATTCAACATGAACTGTCGACAATCAATATCAGGCTTATTAGGAAGTAAAAAATATTTTTCTTATTATATCTGTTGTTCATATTCTTAAATTTTTTCTTCTTGCCGACCCTCAAATATTCATTTGTAAACCATTTTAGAAACCCATTCTCTCCAATAAAATAATTATAAATTAAAATTCGTACTTTAAGATATCAGATGAAAAAATGTAGCGATTAATTTAAAGTGTATTTTCCTAAAAGACAGAACGTATACTAATAATCTACGATAAAAGTTTCGCTCTCTCTATTAGAACGAATATGGTAAAAAAAAAACGTAATTTCTTAGCAAACATTCAAACAATTCAGATTTTACCCATAGCTACTATTCAATCTCGTGCTTCGTTTATAAAGCACCAACATCCATAAAAATTTAAGAATTATATTACCTAAAACTAATGTAGTCATTCAAACATCGATCATAAACTTTTCATCTGATCTATGATCCGTGCTGTTCGATGGCTGCTTGCAAAAGATGTAGTTCAAAAACTGATTTTCTAATTGTAATGTTTCATAGTATTTTACTTTTCAATTCCTGTAATCTTATGTTAGATAGTGTAGACCGATTTCTTACTCAAATAGATATTTTCAAGGAGTATTATCAAAACTATTACTTCAGCAGTGTAAAGCGATTGGCCAATCCAAGAATGTAACTTTCAGAGGAATGTATTAGTCTTTGCGAATGGACACAGATATTTTTTAAAGTTTTAAAATAGGTTTACAGTAATCATTCGAAAATTTTAGACATCATATACCAGAGCTCCGCGTGGGACGTCCCATGGGACGAACATTTTAAAAAAATTTTAAGCAGACAAGAAAGAATCGAAGTCTCTTTCGAGGTGATTCTATTATATACTTACTATCTTTATCCATTAAAATCATACCTATTGACGTAAATGACCGCCTTCAAATTTTATTCTCATATTTTAAAATATTTTCGGTATATGTTGTTTGATTTACCAAAAATATTTTTAAAAAACGAATACAAGCTTTTAAAAGTCATCTAAGACAACGATCTTAATTTTAATGCATAGAGATAGTATGCATATCATAGAATCATATCGAAAGAGATTTTGATTCCTTCTTGTCTGCTTAAATTTTCTAAAAATGTTCGTCCCATCCCGTCCCATGCGGAGCTCTGCCATATACCATCGTAGTCGGTGTGTCAACTGTTATTGTCTTCTTTTTCTACTTTACTGCATGTTCTCACCCCCTCTTATATAGAAATCTTATCTTATCACTAATTAAATCAATCACTTCACCATAGTAACATTATCATTCAACATCAATGAGATACGATTTATTGACCTTTTTGTTTTACGTAACTCAGCAACAATAAAATGAACTCATCGAATAATATGCTCTTTAATGATGAACACTTTTTTTTTGTTATTTACCGATTGTAATTATACATTTAACTTAACATCAATTTTATTTTTTATAATTTTGACGAGGCAAAAAAATTACAACAATCCAGTTAACAAGTAAAAATGAAGAAAGTTTTTTGGTAACTCATGGCATATATCCGTATGTTGTTATATCAATCTGTTCTTTTTTTTTCTCATGATATGCTACGAAAGAAAGTATGTACATACTCTCGTTTGTTGCTAATGTGAATAAATTTATACAACGACCATCTGTCGCCGTGTACCATCCACACTGAACAGAAAACGATATGAAATGATAATATCAAGATACAAGAAAATATAGAAAAGTACGATTGACTATCAGTTAGTTCATTGTGCAAAACTCGACAACTAGAAATTGAATAATATCAAAGCAGCAGCAAATAGTTGAACACTAGCGATGATCGAGAGTAACAGCTGGGATTTTTTTATTAGAAAAAGAAGAAAAAAAAGGAGAAATTATTTGTAGCCCCTCGATTATTATTCTTCGATTTTAATGTCGAACAAAAAAATGTGATAAAGCAATAGAGAACAAATTATCATCTTTTATTTTATGTGCTTTTTTGTGTCATGTCACAATTGTGTATGTGTATATTAGTTTTTTTCTCTTCCTTTTTTCTATTGATTGCTGGCATTTGTTGTTCTATCGATTTTATATACTTTTTTTCAATTTTCCAATAACGTTGTGTTTCGACGTCTCCTATCATCATATCTTTTATTTCGTCTTCTTCTTTTTCTTTTTTGGTTTGCCTGTGAATCTGTCTTTCAAGAAACTTATAGACTCGTATTGTAAACGGGTTGGCCTATACTCGCCAGTTGCGTTGCTGTCTTCAACTATGTCGTCATCGTCTTCATTGGCATCGGCAACAATCGTCGTACCGTTAACAAATGTTGAGACGAACATCAAAGATACTGATAAGCAATATTTATGTTTATTTTACATTGTTACTGCTGGTTTATTGGATGATAATATGGGTTCGGATGAACAAGAAATTATTGAAATGATTTACTTGATTATTGATGTCGAACAGAAAAAAGTGTGTGCACTACATTGTGTTTTGTTAGATATGTTTAATCATTCAAAAACAAATTCATTTCATTTTAAATAGACTGTAGAAATATATCGTCAATATGTGCGACCCTTAACTATAAACGAACTTACTGATGAACACAAAGAAATAAGTGGAATTGATGAAAAACTGGTGTTTTCATCTGAACTTGATCTTGATGAAGCATTGAGAAAAGTAATTATAAATCATAGTTTATATAATCTTTTGGATACAGTTATCGGCTGCTTTTTTTTCGTATCATAGTTTGATTCATTTTTGTATGAACGTCATTTACACCCAGATCTTGGAATTAAATTAACAATCGTTTGTAATGATTGTCTTCATCTACGGCAATGTCTTCATCCGGAAAGTGTTAAAAAGTCAATAGCATCTATACCTATTTATTATTGGTCATATTTTGATTTGAGACTTCAATTCGGGCAAATGTATAAAACCAATGAACACGAACATTTAAATTCTATGCTAGAAAGTAAGTATTTCTTTGGCCAAAGAAAATTTGTTTGTCGAATCAAAAACTCTAATTTCGATTCGAAAAAAATTAAACTTATCCTTTCATATAGGGTTGAATATTTGCCCTATATCCGAAGCCGATTATAGTATGCGAAGTATTAAACATATGGAATTGATTGTTCATCGGTTATTACATGATGGTACATTTATTTTTGAACAATTAAATTGTTCATTCTGCTACTTTGATGGTGTTTTTTTCGCTCTAGGGCATCATTTTGAAAAACCTGAATGTATCATGAGAAATCTACAACAGGGCATATGGTAAAGTAAACATTTATTATTGATATTATTACAATTGTTTTTCTCCCGTCGATTTAGTTCATTAGAAGAAAATATTCTAGAAAGTACAGTAATTCGAGCACGTGGATTACCGTGGCAATGTACTGATCAAGATGTAGCAAAATTCTTTCGAGGTCTCAATATTGAAAAGTGAGTAAATCTGTAATGTAAGAATTAATTTCTTTATTTGGTTTGTCATCTGAAGTTGGAGAAACTCATGAGATATCTCTATTTCGCTGTTCTTCGATACCCTTTGCTTTCAACATCTCATAGATTATTTCATTTCTCAGAAATTTTTAAATTAAAAACAATTTTTCTAGTTTGAAAATTTTTCTTTGCTTCAATCATGCAATTAGATTGAGACTTACTTATAGAGACTAAAAATGATTATAAAATCACATCCTATCAGTGGCTTTTATACATATATATTCAATTCTATCATTTATTATCAATACATTTTATAGAGACGAAGTTAAATCTATTTATTTCATTACCAATGAAAAGAACGCTCTAAAATAATGTCTGTCATTATTATTCTATTCGAAATCAACATTAAAAACTCTGATAATATCAAAACATTCTTTGTGATATATGACTGTTAACTAATGACAAAACCCGTGCCATTTTGACGTATCATTATAAGAAACTCATTTATTTAATATATGATAGGGGTGGTGTTGCGCTATGTCTCAGTAGTCAAGGCCGCCGTAATGGTGAAGCATTAGTTCGTTTTTCAACAGCCGAACATCGCGAATTAGCTCTACGCCGACATAAACATCACATCGGACAACGTTACATTGAAGTATACAAAGCATCCGGACGTGATTTTCTCAATGTTGCTGGAGGTAAATAATGATTTTGTACTTGAAAACTGTCGCCCAATTCTAGTATTTCAGAAATTCATATTTTCTAAAATGATAAATAATTTATTTCATTCGTAAAAAATGAGTATTGAAGAATATTTCTTTCTACTTTGAGCTTGTTGGTGTTCAGTAGAAAAAGTCGTCGATACATTAGCCAATGATGACATATTGATTATCGTAAGCTATATAAATACAAGTGAACGAAAAAAAGAGTTTAAAACCATGAACTAGTATCAATTTTTATTTACTGAAGGATTTAAAAGATTCACTTTTGAATGATAAAAATGAAAAGGAATATCAAATAAACCGTATGATTATCAAATAACGTCCAGCCTGATGTCTCGGCAAGCGCAAACATTGGTATCAGTAATTTTTTTATAAAAAAAAAGAAAGAGAAATGAAAATGAATATCTATTGAAAGAAATAAAAAGACTAATATAATCTCTTCTGCTCTGTCTTTGGTTATTTTATTTAGATAGAAAAAAAATCATTAAAAATCTTTGTATTATAATACATACATCCTTTTGTCCATCATGATCAATACAAATAGAAGGGCAACAAGGAAAAAAAAAGCGGTAGAAGTTGATAGAACAATGATTTGATGGATTCTTTTTCTTGTTCTTCTTTGTGAAAAAAGAAAAGAAAAAGAGTACACACTTGTCACTAGTCGTTTATGTGTGTTCAAGCTACTAATATGTCTTTTAACGAAAATTTATCGTTCTTACGAACATTGTTGATGCTTGTCAGACGTGTTAAATACTTGACTATATTCGATTTGATGTTCTGTCGTCGTCATTCATTCACTTACTAGTTTTTTTTAATCGAAAATGGTAGTCAATAATTGACGTTGGCGAGGTGTCTTTTTCATTTTTCTCTCGTAAATCATTTACACAAAAAAAAAACGACATCACGTTACACATTAACGCCAAAAGATCAATTCTTTCAAAAAATTTTCTCCGACTCATATTAACTTTTCAATGTAACATATCAATGGACAATGCAAAAGGTGTATCCTACAAAAGCAATATGTATTATCACTATTTTAATTATGTAAAAAGTTCGTATAAGAGTATCTTGAAATAATTTTTTCGATTTATTCTTTATAAATATAAAGATCAGTATTGAATCTGTTTCCAATTAGAATCATGCTAGTGCTTCTCTACGATGAAAGTATTAAATAGTCTCTTTAATATTATACTTTGTTTTCGGTCTATTCATACATTTTAATCCTCGATTCGGATAGAAAATTGCAAATATTGAAGAATATTAGTTGAGAGCATTTTTCTTTTGTTTCTATTAGTTAATACAATCTAATGTATAGATTCAGTGAGCATATCGATGAAACTTATTTTTATTCTATGTTTTGCTAATTTTTATTTAGGATCAAACTCTGAAGCTCATGCATTTTTACAACGTGATGGACAAATTATTATTCGTATGCGTGGTTTACCATTTGATGCTACTAGTAGAGATGTGGTGAGTTTATCTACTACTCAGATTGCGACATAATATGATCAATTTTGTTTCTGTCATATTATGACTATGATGAGGTTTGGTGAGATCAAGAAAAACTTGAAAGGATTGAGACTTGTATCTATGAGTAGCGGCTTAAATTTTTATCTATCAAGTTTCTTATTGAATTCAAAGCATATTTGCTTACAATATATATCCGATAACATGGAAAACTAAAAGAAAATAAATATCAACAAAGATATTATCATTTCAATTAAAAATTTCAGAATTATCGTATGTGCTTGTAGAAAAAGCATAGTTCTATGTTTTCAATCAGTCTCTTTCCAGAGATAAAAAATAATCAGCCAACTGTTAACTTCATTTACTGCATTGAAGTATAATGATGAAGCGATATAGATTTGAGTTAGTTTCATGGACATAAAACTTCTACTTCATCATAATATGAAGACGATGCTTCATGTATCGATACGTAAAGATATAACAGCACGATAAACTTATAGAAATTAAAATAGTATATTTTCTTTCATTTTGATTCTCTTCTTAAGATCGAATTTTTCACTCGTGGTGATCAACCAGCTAATATAGTTGATGATGCACAAGGTGTTTTATTTGTTCATTATCCAGATGGACGAAGTACGGGCGATGCATTTGTTATGTTTAAAACTGAAAATGAAGCATCGCAAGCTCTACTCAAGCATAAAGAAACAATGGGTACAAGATATATTGAATTATTTCGTAGTACAGCAGCTGAAGTTCAACAAGTAAGTAAAATTATCGTTATGAATAAGAAAAAATTTAGCAAATATATTTCTCTAGGTATTTCGTCGAAGTCAGGATCCAAAAAATTTCCAAACATCATTAAAAGATATTCCATTTGCGCCCTTATCTATGCTACCACCAGAAATGTTATCAGGTGGAAATAAAAAAGATTGTATTCGAGTTAGAAATTTACCACTTCATTGTGGTATGGAACAAATTTTAGAATTTCTCGGTGTTCATTCGCAACATATTGTAAGGAAGTTCTGTTGTTTTCTTTTAGTAATGAATTTACATGAATTATTTTGTATAGGTTTCACACGGTGTTCATATGGTTTATAATTGTCAAGTATTAATTTTATATTATGTGAACGATTAAATCATAATAAATGTTTATTATTTTTCTAAAATTATATTAGGGTCAACCATCGGGCGAAGCATTTATTCAAATGGATTTTGAAGGATCGTCATTCAATGCAGCAGCACATAAAAATAATAAATACATGTTTTTTAATGGTAAAAAACGATACATTGAAGTACTTCAATGTTCAGGTGAAGATATGAACCATATTTTACTTGGTCTTGTACCATCGAATTTAATTCCTGCCAGTATGCAAGCCCAAACAATCTATACATCTCATAGAAGTGAAAATAAATATGAATCAAATATAAAAGTGCCTATTATTTTATTTTTTAGTTCCAACTGGTTTACCTATATCAACATCGTCACCACAAATGTTGTCGAACGCAATGCCAGTGTCTTTAACGAATTCATCTCAATCATCAATACAATCTTCAACATCATCGACTTCATTAGTTACGATTCCCACCATGAGTGGATTTCATCCTAATGCTACTTACTATCCGATGCAAGTTCTATATTACCCAACACCAACTCTGTCGCAATCCATTTATTTACAAACAGGACGAATGCCTACTGCACCTATGGCACTTGTTATGCGAGGTAAAAGATAGTTTATGACTATTTCAATTGCTTCTATTTTGATATCTAATTGATATTCTAGGAGATGCTGGTCAATACCAATGAGAATATAAAAACTGTTGTTCTTCGCTTTTCTACAATACAGTGTATCGTTTTTCCCCGTCATTTTACTGTCTAAATATTTTAAAATGTAATTATTTTGCATAAAAATATGTCTTCTTTTATTAAATAACCATTTCTCTTTCGATTTGCCATTCTTTCTTTTGTGTTTATTGTACTTTCAATGTTTATTTCTAATATGTATCTTCCATTTTACGTTCTTACGAATGATAAATAATTTTTGTTCTTTTGCTTCATATCGAATCTTAATATTAATTTTGAGACTAAAAGTTAATTTTCAAGTTAGACTATTGAAGAGAGTACAAAAAATTTATTTCCCTATCAAACACACATGTGAACGCGTGACAGGTTAAAGCTTTAAAGAATTGATACACTTATGAATAGTAGTCGAAGTGAAAAAGCTGGTAGAATTTACATTCTGTACATGCCTACGGCTAGCAACAATGAAAATGCAGACCTACATAAGTCTAGAATTTACTATTTTTAGCAGTTTATACGATCACTTCATTCCATTGCTATGCTTTTAAAACTTTCAAAGAAAGCAAATTTCGTGTCATTTAAAAGCTTGCTCCTTGATTCATACTTGCTTTTGAATGAGTGTACCGAATAACTTTATGCTTTTCTTATGAGTGAAGTGTTGATTGAGTTCATATTATTTTGTGTAATGCTACGATATTTTTATTTATTAAAATGTTTCTTAAAAAGTTACAAAAAAAAATATTTCAAAGAATTCTTCTTTACAAACGATTAGTTTTTTTTTGTTGATGCCATCACATTCGAACAATTCAATCTATTATTTTATAGGTTAAAATAATTGATTTTACTTTATTATACTTTTTAAGTTGCTTGACCGATAGTTTTTTAATTGCGTGTAAACCTGGTTTTCCTCAACTTGCTTCTGTAGTTATTCTGTGGGCAACGATGGCGCCATTGCTATATTATTGCATGTTTCTTTCTACGAAAATAATTTCACAGGCTGACCTTTACAAGGATTACTTTACAGGAAGTAGTGTAATTTTTCAGATTTCTTCCCTTCTTTTATTATTTCCTTGAAGATGAAACATTTGCGCTATAACATCTTATAAAGAAATCATTTGATCAAGTGGAAATTTTTCGTAGTTATCGTTTCCGCCATATTCCGAAAAAGACTTGATAATCAACTATACGAAAACTTAATTCGAAAAATAAGATCTTATCAAACGAAACCTTTTTGCAAATGTTATCAAAGTCGCCAATTGTGTTCAGAAGCAGATTACAGAATGTAATGTAGGACATCAGTCGAACATACTTCCTTGTGAAATCTGTTTCGTCGTTCATATGTAATCTGGAAAAGCTACAGAAAAGAAGTAACAGAACCTTTTTTTCTTATAGAAAAATGAAGGAATAGCGATCACAAAAAGATTAGTAGCAATAAAGACTTTTAATTTTCGACATATGTTTTACATAAACAAACGAATGTATCGTAGGAACTCTCCCACTATAGAATAGAAAAGAAAACCTATAGAATTCTCACATAGATCTTCTTGTATACAATTTCAACAGTTTCCTGTTTCTATTTCTAATGCATACTATTCAGCAATGATTCATGTCTACAGCCATTCTCTTATTTATGATTTCATCAAGCAAAATAATGACAAAAGACATATGGTTACATGAGATTTTTTTTTCGAGTAGGTCAATTATAGTGATAAATGGCAGCTGTGACCATTTTAGAAAAAAAAAAGACAAGGCTTGCTATTTAATATTTTTAATCATTGTTTGATTTCTTCTCTCGGCGCAAATATTAAGAATGGCTGCTTCGGCTAGTAAGTTCTAGAAGTAGTTGAATTTAAATACGAACACTTTTGTTGAAAAATAGATAGATCAAGTGCTATGAAGGACGATTTACAAAAGGAATTTCGTTTATTTGATACAAACAACGATGGATTCATTGATAAAAATGAATTAAAATTGGTTTTAAAAAAACTTTTACCTAAATTCAAATTACCTGATGATGAAATTAAACGAATGATTTCAAATGTTGATAGAAATAATGATGGAAAAATCGACTATCATGGTAAATAAGATGTTGTTTTACGTCGTCTATTATAATAACTATAAAGTATATCTATAAATGAAATATTTTATTCCTTTTATAATGATGAAAAAAAGAACCGAATATTTTTTCAAATACTAATGTTCGTTTCTCTTTTTTTTATTTATTAGAATTTATGGAATCAATTTATCCGCAATTATCAACAATACAATAATATCTTATTCCAGAATTAACGCTAAAAGTTTTAAAATATTTTAATAGGGGTTGTTGTTGAATACATTTTATCAATAAAAAATAAAGAATGGCAGAGAAATCAGGTTCAAAGTTGATGTGCCAAAGTGCATATTTCTTTTGTATTGATCTTTAGTATCATGTTATTTCTCATTTGATAATCTTTTCGCTTCTGATTTATTACGAATGTAGACATATATTGAGTGTTGAAGCGTTTGCTAAATACAATATTTAGACATAGAATCAGGTTGATAAGTACTGGTTCAATCTCATACACACAAGCCAGTTTGACACCAATATGTAGACTCATAAAATCTATGAGCATTGTTATATTTTATTATCTTGCATTATGCTAAGACTACTGAATAGTAGTTAGGAAAAACGAAAGTTACCCAATGATCTACTCTTGCATATGTTGTCACAAGTTAGATCGATCATAGACGCGATTGTTTTAAGATTTCATTGTGAATATGTCGTACAATACTTCGGTTTCCTACACTACCTGATACAAAATATGCATTGCAAACATCGTCTCAGAGTTCGAATTTATTACGTATCTAGTTTAACATTGTCACATTGGGCATCATAGTTATGTATCAGGTTCTAAAAATCTAAAAAAAAAGATATTCAAAGGATTGCATCCTCTTGGAATAAAAAAGAAAGTCTTTAGATCTTGCTTAACATTAAGCAAGAACTTGATCACTGGTAGAGTTTCGTTTGTCACGGAGGTAACTTCATAGCTAAACTCAACATATTACAGCAGTGGCTTTGAAAGTCGATAATGATATTTTAAATTGATGAATATATCAACGTGGCTGATTCGATCGATGAAGACAACAGTACAATATTACTTATGGTGAGCCACGTATCATGAATACGTTACGACTCCTGAAGTTTCAAATATTATCATATTCAAATGCGTATAAAAAAAAGAGGATTTATTTTATAGATCAAGTTGAACTAATTTTAACAGCATGTCTTTGGATAATATTTGCATGTTTTCGTTAAGATAAATATCTCGGCGATTTTTTTTAATGAATACAATACATAAATCAATAACATCATTAAGAAGAAAATTATCATGTTGATTCTCATTTGACGTCACGGAATCAAGACCTGATTGAATAAGTATTTTTAACACGTTTGTTTTATCAATAATTTTCTTTAAAATATCAAATGCTTTCGTATATATTAAGCTTAAAAAATATTCATCAGCTTTACGCATTAATTCAAGACATATATCATACGTTATTGTAGGTTCAATATTATCTGTAAAAATAAAATGCAATATTTGATTGAAAGCTTTATAAGATATATTTCTTATCGGTATTGGTTCTGTTCTATTCGATGGATATTCAATAAATAGCTCATGAAAATAAATACATCGATTACTGAGAATATTTCGATAAGATGATATTAATTGTTCATTATCAAGTTGAAATATAACATCAGATAAATAATCATTCGTTAATAAATCACTTAAATCTGCCAAAAATTCATTCGAGAATAAATGAACATTAGACGTAAAACCTATCAATTTAATACAATCTATTTCACACCAACGTCTTGCAGCAGTACAATCTATATTCAGACGAATTTGATTTATTTCTTTCTCACATATATTTGTGCATGAAATTGAAAAAATACGAGCTAAAAATTATAAATAAATTTCGTTTAATTTATTTTTGCATTATTTTTACTTACATTGTTCTTGAATTTGTGGAGTTTCAGTTTTCCACACAGTTTCCCATTCTGAGTTAACTTTTCCTATGTAGTATTATTATTAAATATTAGTTACCTATCGAACAAGATTAAACATACCATTTCGTGCTAATACTTTTACTACAGCACCTGAATTATATGTTTCATAGATATCAATGCGTTCAGGATAGACAACTTCTTCAAATTCAACAACGATAAACTCATCACCGGCTCGAGATCCTTGAGCCCATGCACCAGTAATGTCTCCTATTTATTGATGAAGAGAAAAAGAATATTACCGGGATAAAAAGAAAAGATAAACTGTATCTTTTTAACTAACCATATCGCGGATAGACTTTTGGTGGCCCAATTATTTGATTTGCAGACCATGTATCGTTATTATATTGAGATGAACAACCAATAACACGAGAAACCCCTATATAATGACAATAATCAACTTTAGTATTGAAAATATGAAGAATCTTACATTGTTCTTTTTGTTTCCAACCTAGTGAAGTTATATCTAATTTTGCCATAGTCAAATAGAATGCTCGAATTAATGGTGTAAAACTTTTTGAATTTTTATACAAAGTGTACGGTTTGATTGTGAGATTGCAGGCTAATTTTTAAAAAGAAAAAAAAAGAAGCATATTTACCTTGATATTTACTTACACACAGATCAAAACATTCGATGCAAAAATTAGTTATTTCTTTGATTTTATTTTGTTCGTCCTGATGTAAAAGGTTGTCGACGTGACTGATTTAATTTGCATCATCACGTTGCAAGGTTATTGCACCATCACTAGAGAAAAGTGTCAATGTTGAATTATTATAGTTAGTGTGTCTTTTTTCTTGAATGATGATACCGTAGAGAAGTAAAGATTTGCTTGATTACTGATACATCAATAAATTAATTGAGCGTCTTTCATATTGTTAAAGATCTTTTCATATTTATATATAATTTAGTAACTTTCTCGAATTTATTCTGTGGATTCTGATGAACTATGCAGTTGTTACTGTTCAATAAGATTCATTATAATTTTCTACGCATTCCATTTTTTTCTCTAATTGAAAAATAGAAAGGAATCATCTTAAAAACTAATTTGATTTAAAAAAAGGTAATGATTTCTTATGACTATAATATTTTAGTCAAATAATTCACAGCAATCGCAAATCAGCATTCACAATTTTATACGAATTTAGAATAGACAACGCTGTGCCCAATTGTTCTTTGTTAATATTTACTGTGATGCCACTAGTGAGAATACAGTGGTCTGAATTTCTTTCCCAGAATTAATCTTGGTTCTTATGGAATTTTATAGAAATTCTTATTTCTAGCGTTTGACTATATTTCATTTGTCTTGAATTCGTAGTCTCATCTGCATCATTTCTTAGCATACCAGAACTAACGCTTTCAACCAAGGGGGAAAAAGTGATTTATGAGTTTCATGATTTTTCTGAGTTTAGCTGATTTAAAATGAGTTTGAGAAAACGAAAAATTTGCTAAACTAACTAAAAACTATTCCAAATCATAAATTATTATTGAAAATCATTCAAAGGCACCAAAACTCACGCAAACTCATTCCAATACAGTTAATTTATATTGATTGTAAGTTGAGTTTTACTGTGATTTAAATCAGCTTTTCCCCCCTTGCTTTCAACTCTCTAATAAAATTCTAAAAAAAATTCAAATGTGACTCTTAAATAATGTTCAAAAAGTTGTGTAGAACTAAATAATATTAGATCCGTTAGTTCTTATTGGAAAACAAGTACTGTTAACAAAATTTCAGTAAATTCAATGATCTAATTTTATGACTTCGAGCTATGGTGGCGGTGGGCCGAGTCTTGTGCAATAGTGTAAACTTCAAGATGTTACACTGTACGATGATTTCGTTAAAGACTGTCCTCAAATAAATAGAATTCTATAAATTAACTGAATCTAGTTGAATGCTTTAAGAATTCTATATATTTGAGATTGAGAATAAACTGTTGTTTATTTTGTTTTCTTTATTACATGGGAAACAAGAATCTTCCAGAATAATAAATCACAGTATAAATGTCAATAGTTTCATTCTTAGATGAAAATGTTTGTTTACATTGAATTTCGAATCAATTCATCGCTGCGTCATCAGATAAATCGCCTTCATCCACAATCATATTTCCAATCATATTTGTAGAAAATTGTCGACGTGAAATATTCATATTATTGTTATTGTTTGATGGACGATTCGATGGCGGTATTGAATCATCTCTGACGGATAAATTTGTTTTTATGATAGCTGAACGAAGTAAAAGAGCACGAGTTATTTTTTCGGATTGCTTTGTTATTGTTAATGCATGTTGATACGCATACCAACGTTGATCCGTATCAGCAACATATAGAATTTTATTTTTTGAATCAATACGTGCTTTTATTTTTCCTGAACGAATTAAATGAACGAGTTCATCTTCAAGTATATCGATTGTTGTATTCAATTGATTGGCCATTGTTGTCATGCATGCATTTTTATATGGTAAGAAATATGTTATTATTATTCGATGACGTATTTCATAATATAATGTGCATACATGTGGTGCTAAATATTGGTCTAATGCAAATGTTGGCTCCAATTGGGACATTAACGCAAGGCATGATGAATAAGATGTTTCGTAAAATTTATGAAGAATATCACGAATTGAAGGTTCCAATTCAAGATATTGCTTCACATTTGGTGACGTTATGATTAAACGATGTAATTCTGGTCGCTCAAACGCTGCTAAACTGCATAGACAAATATATTGAACGAGAGTTTGAGGTGATATTAGGTCCTAAAAGAGAAATGAGTTTAGTTTGAATGTTATCGTCGACTTATGAGTTATCTAGTTAAATTGAATATGACCACACATTTTTCAGAGTAACAAGAACTACTAAAGAAAAAAATTAATTTCTACTAAGAATCTAGTGTAGTCAATGACAATGAGTGATAATGTATAGTTATCATACTCGTAAATTCTCTGCAGACAGCATAACGGCAGAGTCATGATGCTTAGAGTATTTCTTCTCATGGTCAATCATCAACTTCAAAAAGAATTGACTCAAATTTCTATTCTACAATTGTTCTTATCGTGTCTAGACTTTTCAAAATATGAATCCAATGACTGAACTTCAATCGGTATTTGAAAATTTGATACATAAGAAGGAAATGAATCGTTTTTATAGAAATGCTTTGGATATTTTTACATTCCGACAAAAGAATGATGACTTTGAGTTTGATTCAATCTTTCTAGTTTTTCTCTAATTCATTTATATTATAGGAATACTATTAAAATGCGTAAGCTATCATATCGAAATAAAATAAACATTGAATTGAAAGAGGCATCGCAGAAAAATAGCTTGCAATAAATTCATTACAACTAATTAAGAATACTTTCTTTTAATTCTAATCAAATCTTTAAGGTATGATTCTTAGAAATGTGATACTGTTTTTGATTCGATGGTATAGATTCGAGTAGTACTGACATCCTCTTAGTTTTTTATAATGTATTTTCAATTTACTCAGATAGCCTTAAGTATCAACTTATCGATCATTGTCAGTTTCTGAATCATTATTTTCATATCATAATTCTACCTGAAAATGATTTGAACAGTGATCAAATGTAACACCAAGAAAATGTCGTGCAGCTAATTTATATCTTTTTGTTGCTAATTCTGCAATTCCAGCATAAACTTTTAAACGTGAAATCAAGATTGCATCAGATGCCATCAAACTATTTACTGTTGCTACATCCATTGGATTCCTGGTTGATGATGTCGTTGCTGCTGGTGTTGTTGTTGATTTTGTTGTCGATTCAAGACTTTCAACAGCTTGTTCAGCTTTAGTGACATAAGATAAGACATTAGGCCAATTCTGCATGTAGAATGATGCTTTTATAACATTCATACACATTGTTATTATATGTCTTGGTGTAACGCAATAATCTCGTGACCGTACGTAACAACGTACCGCATTAAAAAAATCGCCGGCATCTAAATAATGATCACCAAGATCATCATGACCACGGCGTATTGAATCTTTTATTGAATTTGTACGAAAATGTCTTAAATCATTATCAAGTTTTTCTAATTTATGTGTATAATTACGTTGAGTTTTTTCAAGCCATGATGGATCAAAATCATTGGATAATGGTACATTTTGTTTTTTTAACTCATCAACAATCTATAGTAAAATAAAACAGCAATAAAAATAAATCAATTAAGTTTGTTTTGTTTTATTACTTGTTTGTAGAGTGAAATAAAATGTGTTTCTTGAATATATTTAAGGCTTGCTAAAAGTGCTTCATTTCGTAATGATAAACAATGATCGGCTACATATAATAAACGATAAATACGAATAAGACCTGTATATGTTGATGTTATTGTATCAAGTTCAAAGTTAGTTGACGATATATTAACTTGATAATTTCCTTCGTAAGATGATTTAGTAGAATTTTGAACTGAAGTATTATTGTTAGTGTCTCCACTACTATCAACTATGTTTTGAAGATCCATTTGTTGATTAATACTGATGTTTTCGAAAATTCTTGATAGACTTATCTGAAATAGTACATCATTTCTCAGATTAAATTAAATTAAAACAACTGTTATCGATGTTTTTGTTGATCAAATTATTGTGTGTTTAGCATTTTTTCTAGGCTGATCTATTTTGAGAAACAACAGATTTATTCTTTTCCTTTTAGAAAATATAGATGAGATCAAAGGAAAATTACTAGAACTACTACTCTATAATTAAGATTAATGGGCATACAAATTTTGACCAGTATTACGAAATTCAACTAATTGGTTTCATTTATTTGATTAACTCTAATTTACTGAAATATTGGCAAGAAAAATTCAAGCAGTACAACATTAGTTTTGTTGTTAGTATCAAATTTGAATATGAAAACTCATTAATTCAATTATTTTCGTATCAAACAAGTTTATGTAAGAAAAATAGATACGACAAGCATCGATTACAATAAATAGGATAGATAACACAAAAGTAATACGATGAGTATAAGAAAAAGCCAAAACAAAGAAAAATACAATGATGATACCCGCATTCGCTGTAAGTCAATAAATGAGAGATAAAGAAATCTCATTTATTCATACAGCCTGAATTATGAATTAAGTAAACGTTTAGAAAAAACAAATGTGCCGATTTAAACTCGTATGTTTTGTCACGAAAGACGATAAAATATAAAATATTCTTAGAACTATTTTAGAGAAGGGAAGTTAAAGCGCATTATATTAAATTTTTTGGAAGCTGCAGAGAACCTTTTATAAATGGCTTCCGAATTCATTGTTTCAAGACAGAAGTCAAAGTTGCCATGCCATTCTAACAGTCATCACAAGTAATTTACAAGTTGATAGGAAATCCGATCTATATATCTATATTTTTCAAGATCATGAAGCGTCATAAATTGTTGAGATTATTATGAAATCTATTATTGTGTACGTTTCTTTTAAAAACATATTCGACTCACAAGAAAAATTGAAATCGAAGTAGCTAAAATATTTCCAAATTAATTCTTCATTTTTTCCAAATCAGATAATTTTACTTAACATCCTATTCTAAATTTCCAATAATTAAAAACCAATAATTAATGAAAAATAGTTGTCATCTGTTTGATACAACATAGCTAAACTGAATAGAAATGATGAACATATAATAAAAGTAAAATTCAGATGAAAATTTGTTGTCTTTTCATTGATCGACTCAGTCGAAAAACATGTATGCAGCCCAGTTCATGAAGGTTGAAATAACATTAATGATTAGTTAGTCATTTCAACCAATAGGATTTATTGTAATTGAAGATGTATGAAAACTTGCAGAGAGGCGAAAAAACATTTCAGGTACAAAATCAAATAGTAAAACCGGATTGAGTTGAATTTTTTAAAGGTAATTATACATGAGTTTGACGTGAAAAAACTATTTAGTTACCATAGACTTTTCTTTGAACGTTGCATTTAGTTATGTCCAATTCAAATTTTCATCGAGCTCGACCACAATCAACACGCTACTCGAATAATTATGACTCATCAAGAGTAACTTATGACCATCATTTTGATTCAAATCAACAGTCGCCTGTTCCTTTACTTGGGCCATCATCTCAACAACCTATGTTTCCTTCACAAGAAAGATTCCATTCTAATCATGCACATCAATCAAACAATCGTCCTTTTCATCATAGTAAATTATCTTCTAAATAAAATACTTGAAAAATATAATCTTCTAGCTGAAAATCATCTTTCGAACCGTATGTGGTCAAATACAGAGTACCAAGAATATTTTCGTCGACATTATCAACAACATTTTAAAATTCATATTGTCTGTTACAATATTCTTGCGCAATCATTACTGGAAGATAATCAATTTTTATATATGAATTGTTTAAGAAACAATTTACAATGGCACCGAAGAAAAGAACGGTTATTAAGAGAAATATTAAGACAAGATGCTGATGTATACTTGTTGTTTTTTTAAATGCGTACGAAGATATCGATTATTTTTGTTCTTGTGTTTAGATTGTTTGTTTACAAGAAATGGAAAATTTTCATTATGAAAATGAGTTTCGACCTAAGTTCATGGAATACGGTAAGAAAAAGAAAAAATTTGTTTTAAGAGTTAATTCTCTATTCTATTAAGGATATGATTCTATTTATTTAAAAAGAAATGGCTCTAAATCCGATGGATGTTGTATATTCTATAAAATAAAACGTTTGAGACTTATGGGAAGTAAAGCTGTGCCATTTTATCAAAAAGATATTCGTATTTTAGACAGGTAGATATTTTCATTCTTTTATATATTGGCGTTTTTGCAAGAAAAAATCTAGTTATGCGATAAATATTTGTTTGCTATCAAGTATTCAATCCGATATTTGTTTATTGATAACGTACAATTAACTATGATCATAAACATTATCCATTGTTTTATTTTATTTTTATTTCTTAGCTTGTAGGAATTGTATACATAAATCAAAGAAAAGAAAAGAAAAGAAAAGAAAACTCAATTATCGAATTTTGAGAGCAAAAATCTACGAAATGAGTATTTATAGATTAGCAAAGTACCTATTCGATAGAATGATGCCTAAAGAATTTTCTCAGGTGAGCGTGTCTCTTTCATGTACATCTAGCAGGAAAATAATATATTTCTAGTGGAGTCGATACAAACTGAAACTGATTCTAAAACATGAACAGCACTAAAAGATTTCAATCGACTCATATTTTGTCAATCTTACAAAAATATCAATCAAAATATTCGTAGCATGATTGTGAATAATGTTCTCGATGAAAAGTTCAATTGATGCAGATTAAACATTTGAGTTTTTATAATTTTAGAGACAATTGTGGTTTAATTGCACTTTTTCAACCGATACATCCTGAAACGTCATCTGATGATTTATTCTGTGTTGCAACAACACATCTACTTTTTTCACCGAAACGTGGTGACATTAAATTAGCTCAGCTACAATATTTTCTTGCTGAAGTTGATCGATTAGCAACACGAGATCATCCTACGGGCTGTTACTATCCAATAATTCTATGTGGTGACTTCAATGCTCAGCCTCAATGTCCACTTATTCAATTTCTATTGAATCAATATATCAAATACGATAGCTTTCGTTGTATTGACATATCTGGACAAACACCAAGTTCAGTCGTGGACGACTGTTTTTCTCATCCATTACCATCAAATGAACTTCTTCCATTATCATTTGTTACATCTGATTGTCGTTTAGCAACATTAAACGATGACCTTGTTTTTGAAAAACATGCCAATCAACAACAGTCATCAGCAATTTTAACACACAATAAACAATTATTATCTGTTTATGATTCTAATGATATGTTAGATGTAACTACAAATGCCGGTGATGAAGCACATTTAGTTGATTATATATTTTATAGTCAACAAGAAAATGATCCATATAGATTAAATCTATTAAGCCGTTATGATTTATATAAACAAGACGAAGTGATAAATGTACATATGCCAAATCATCAATTTGCTTCAGATCATTTTATGTTAGCAGCAAAATTTGCATTAAAATTAAGAAAGACGAATGTTGCACATCAACAGTGATATCCGTCGTGTTTATTTTTGTATTGCTTTTGAAAAAAACTTCTATTTTCGCTTATTGGTTTTGAAAAAAACTTCTATTTTCGCTTATTGGTTTTGAAAAAAACTTCTATTTTCGCTTATTGGTTTTGAAAAAAACTTCTATTTTCGCTTATTGCTTTATTTTTGGGTTATAGATGAAAGATATTATAAACTATTGAATTGAATTCGTTTTTAAAACAACTAAGGACTGGTAGAGTTCTGTTTTTGAAAGACTCATTTGTTGATGTTATCGTATCTGTTTATGATAAATGACTTTGTGAGATATATGCATCTAGAGATGATTTGCATTGAGTGTAGTAGTAACTAAAAACTAATATTTATTTCAAATGAGAGCACTCAACATAACTCGTAATACATAATCGATGGTTAGTGAATAGCATAGAAGGTGCCAATGATCAGTCAGCATACCCAGTGGACTGTGAATGAGTTAGTTACCAAATAGAAAAACGACTGGCTATTTTACTCGGTTACAGCTATTTGATTGCCATATCCAAATGGATCATAGTTTTGAAAGTTCTAGAAGATGCTCAAGTTTGAGTCGTCCCTAAAACCTCTATAGTTTGTGACCTATCTTAAAACCTTTGAAACTAATTTGTATTAACAGTTTTGAACTAGTTCTTGATTTTAATGATTTAGTAAAGATAAGCCTTAAAAACAAAGTCCTTTATTAGATACGTTTATCAGTAGAAATAATAATGGTACTATCGTACTTTATTGATTGTCTCATTCGGATGATACGAAAGTATCGTTATGTATGTACATGGCAAATTTATGAACTATTTTTTTGTGCATTGATACGAAAGTAAGATTTATTTTCGGCACAATTTTTTAAGCTTTCGTTAATATGAAGATTTCTTTTTAAAATTAAAGTTGTCAGCGTTTAATATCTGTATCGTACAAGAACGTTTTGATAAGTTTTAGGTCCGTTCTGAAATAATACTAGGAAATTTCTACTTACTTGCATTCAGTAATATAAGTTTTCTCCTTTAATGTTTGATTAACAACGATGGTTCATTTCAGACTGGTGTGTATATAACATTTTGATGATATAACCAATTCATGATGTCGATCATTGCTGATGTTTTCAAGTAATCGATTACTTTCTACCCAAGGGAAAAAACTGATTTCTGATACTAGAAATCATTGGAAATCACTAGAAATCAAGAAATCAGTTTTCTCCCTTGTTTCTAATTACCAGAATACTATCCCATTCCCTGCTATTGATTATGTCTATTTCGAAAATCACCATAAGAAATCCTATTTAGTTTTGAAATTTTAGTTTTTCATAAAACTAAATCCTATGGTATTATTCGAAAACAACAAATATAAAACCTCTGAATTCAGACCATCAGTGACTACAGATCAATGAGTCGACTCGTATCTCTTTTTGTCATGCATTCACTATCAATTATAAATAATGTTTTTTCCTAAGTTGAATTATTTCACTCAAGACTTTCTATCATAGAATCATACACGATGAGTATTTAATACAAGCTCCTCTAGTAAAAATAATCATATATTTTTATCATCTATTGAAATAAAACACAAACAAATATATATTTATTTTCTTACGTAAGATATTTTTATATTAAATACATTGATTCTAGTTCTAGAATGTTTGCAACACGTCTTTCAACCGTTTTTCGGCGTACGACATTTTCACTCATCCATCGTTCATCTTTTCTCTCTACTCATATTCCTATTCAACAAATTCGTCCACCGCAAACTACTCGCCTTGATCTTGATCAATTACTTGAAAGACTTGATGGTGAAGCTCATCGTCGTGGTCGATTGAACCCTGGTCTTGTACGTGGTGCAATGCGTAAAGCTGCTGTGGAACTTGATACAATCAATTCCACACAAGCTCTTCTACTCATTCGATGTACTGGTTCATTACTCATTAGCGAATTACCACGTCAAAGACAACAAGTACTTGATCATATGATGAAAATATTCAAACAAAAACATGTTACATTGGATGTAACACATTATAATTCATATATGCGCGTATCGTTACAAAATAATCATTTATTCGATCCAATAAACATATTAGGCGACATGAGAAAAATTAACATTACACCAAATTTAACATCATTTCGTTTATTAATTGAATGTTATGCGAGACAAGGTCGACCGGATGATATACAAAAAATACTAAATGAAATGAAAATAGCTAATTTAAATATTGAACCATTAGTGTTAACTCATCTGTTAAGTTCATATGCACTAAAAGGCAATGTCGAGCGTGTAGAAAGTTTATTTAATCTGTTCCATGAGTTAGAATTAAAACCCATTTCAGAAACATATGAACAATTTATTGTTAGCTATTTAAAACATGGGCAAGTCGATCAAGCGACGAAATATTTCGTGGAAAACGTATCAAAAATGGATAATGAATCATTATTTCGGCTAATTATTAAATGTGCAGAATGCCAACAAAAAGATTTATTTCAACTTGTAATTAATTCGCTTGATCAAAATAGCCTTGCTGATATTTGCGTGAGTAGTAAAAGACAATTTTATTTCGTAAAACAAAACCATCCAATAACTTTGAGAAATGCTTATTAAAGAAATTTTCAACACAATAAATACGGTTATCAGTATTTCTTTTTGAATGAAAATGAATGTTGGTCACAATATTTTTTTCAATACCTTATTGATTGTTCACTAGTTTCGACGATGATTCATCTTTCTAAAATTAACATTTTCTTTTTAAAACTATATTTTTATCTATGACCACATGTTCTATGCTTTTCTGATGTGGAATAGGCATCTATAGTTTACTACATGTAACTGCCTAACTGAGCCTTTTCATTTGCAATTTAACTGTCAACTAATTCAATTCATCCTTAAAATAATTTAGTTTAATAAATATAATCCTTTTCATAATCTACGTGTTAACGACTTGAAGACCAATGAGTTGTATGACACTAGGCCATAGTTTAGTTGTGTCATTTGATCCTACACCCAATCGCTTGAGTTCTTTTTTTTATCGCTTTTTTTAAAGTAACTTCTCTAATAATAAAGACTTAAAACGAGTTGTTTAATATTGAATGAAAGTTATACTATGCCAGCTTGATGTCATTAACCATTTGAATTCAGCTACTCATAATAATTTTCTATTTCCAGATTACTAGCATAGTTGTAAACTGTTACATAATGCGCTATTGCTTTATCTTGTACATTTGAACTGCCATAAATATATTATTTTAGAGAACTTTCAAAATTGATTTTTTGATAGGAAAATTCAACTTAAAAATAGCGATGCATCGATACGATATCGACTAAATATTGATATTGTTATTTATTAATCACTAGCTGATAGAGCCTATTCTACGCTAAGATAACATATAAGCGTTCTTTGAAGGTTATATGATTCAAAAATTCAGTTATTTTATAATTTTTATCTTGTAGGTTCAATATATTCTCTGTGCAACAGAATTATTAGATGCTAAACTCGACGATTACGCTTTCCTACTGATTGGTTCGTTTCCAAAACGTGATGAAACTCTTCATTTCGATGTGATTAATTTAACTATGTTAAATATATTAAAAATTCGTCTACCAACACATCATTTCCGTCCATTTTCGGCTTTAACACTTGATGATATCAATAATAATCTTGAAGGTAAGCTCTTTTCTACTTTTCTTTCTCATCATAATCTAAGAAATCGTTATGGGTGTCGTTGTGACTCGTGAGCGGCTACATATTCTCAGCCATTTATTTTTCATGTTCATTTAGACTATTTTAAAATTCACACGCTGCGCTATACAAACATAGAGTAATGAGGGGCTATTGTGAACATTATTTCAACGATTGAAATATAAAGCTTCGTAAAAGTTTTAATTTTTGTTATTTTTCGAAAAAAACGACTGACGTGTAGTGTGAATTGTTCTCTATATGTCTATCTAAAAATCTTCTAGAAATACCTTCAGGAACTTGTTCATCCGCTGTTTTGCTAGAAGCTCCACAGTCTGTTCATGATAGCCCCACTGCGGGTTATTATGAACACTTGCTGTATATCATGAGGCTATTATGAACACAAGCCAGATACACGGGATAATGATGAACCTTGTGTTAAAATGACTACGATATCTAGGTTTTATATCTGATCACTTTCCAAGCAAATACGACATCGAATTGAAATTCATCTGCTAAAGAATTTATAGATAATATAGTTATGAATATTTGGATACCAATTGCTGTGTGGTATCGATGAATGATAAAAATTCAAGCAATAAACAATAAATCATGTCCTTTAATCAGCATATTTTTTATGCCTCATTCATACTGTTTTACATTGAATTTTTGATAAATAGATTAATAATTTTACATTTTAAACTTTTATGAATTCTTAAATAGATTTAAAATCATGAAAGGTACGATAACTAACAAAAAATAGAGACAAATAATAGAAAAATCCCAAAAAAATATGTTAAATACCATACTAATCAGCAGTATCAATAGTAATTAATCTCATTTTCTTTAAGAACTAAGAATATAACGTGTAGATACTTCATCAATGCACGAAAAAATAGGCTTCAGATACGATCTGAGTCAAAATTATTGAAGTTACACAATATAGCATGTATTCGTAACAGTGCACATTGTCTCATGGCTACGGATTTAAATTGATGGACAGTGCTATGTCTAAGTCGAAATTTAGAAACCTCAGCTTCATAACCCGCACAGCAGATTAAACTGCTAGAGCACAAGGTGAGACTGTTCTCCTTGACATTCACATTATTTTCATGTTACAATACGGTTGTTTTAGTGAAATGAACCATGTGCTCTACACCTCATATCTCAATTTCTCCTTTAGTGTTTTTATAGATACAACATATTGTAAGTCTCAAAGTCTTGCAAAATCATGGGTAATACCTCGTGTCTTTGTGATGAGAAAAGATACAGACTTGTAAATACCTATGTGCTATGTTTCAGCAAAAACCATTATCGTAGAATCTAAGACGAAGCTCATGTTGATTATATCCCTCAAAATTCTGTTGATACGATAGTATCTATTCAAAGCCTATCGAAACTGTAGTCATTGGGGAAAGAAGATCAATCTCATCTTAAATAAAAAGCGTTTCGATTCTTTTACACATTTGGAAGCAGAATAACGACTGACGTTCTCCTTTGGAATTCATAATATGCCCATTATCGATCCCACTACATTTTCGAATATTCTATTTGTTTCCCTGTTAAGATTATATTCAGCAAGATGCAAGATATACATAACTTCGTATAGCTTCGTACAAGTGTTCCATAGTACAGACTAGAATGTATCTTTTTCACTCTGAAGCAACAGGCTCCTAGCCTTTTCTCAATGGCTAAAATCAGCTAAAATCGTTTTCGCTTCTTCAGGCCTTCCCAAGTAGTATCGTTACTATATCCATGTGATGTACACTACAGTGTAAATATTAACAACAATCTTTACCATTTCTGACAATTTACAAACAAATAGTCATCTGCTGTGTTGTGTGAGACTTACGTTAGAATGAATCGAAGACCAGTTTCTGACTGAAACCATATACTGCATGCTGTATTCTAATTTAAACTATTTTGACTCAGATGGGATCTGAAGCCTATTTTTTCGTGCATTGATGAAGTATCTACACGTTATATTCTTAGTTCTCAAAGAAAATGAGATTAATTACTATTGATACTGCTGATTAGTATGGTATTTAACATATTTTTTTGGGATTTTTCTATTATTTGCCTCTATTTTTTGTTAGTTATCGTACCTTTCATGATTTTAAATCTATTTAAGAATTCATAAAAGTTTAAAATGTAAAATTATTAATCTATTTATCAAAAATTCAATGTAAAACAGTATGAATGAGGCATAAAAAATATGCTGATTAAAGGACATGATTTATTGTTTATTGCTTGAATTTTTATCATTCATCGATACCACACAGCAATTGGTATCCAAATATTCATAACTATATTATCTATAAATTCTTTAGCAGATGAATTTCAATTCGATGTCGTATTTGCTTGGAAAGTGATCAGATATAAAACCTAGATATCGTAGTCATTTTAACACAAGGTTCATCATTATCCCGTGTATCTGGCTTGTGTTCATAATAGCCTCATGATATACAGCAAGTGTTCATAATAACCCGCAGTGGGGCTATCATGAACAGACTGTGGAGCTTCTAGCAAAACAGCGGATGAACAAGTTCCTGAAGGTATTTCTAGAAGATTTTTAGATAGACATATAGAGAACAATTCACACTACACGTCAGTCGTTTTTTTCGAAAAATAACAAAAATTAAAACTTTTACGAAGCTTTATATTTCAATCGTTGAAATAATGTTCACAATAGCCCCTCATTACTCTATGTTTGTAT